CCGTTCGTCCAGGGCAACCTCGTAGGAGAGAGGACCTGTGATCCTGGACACAGAAGCGGGGACCCATGTATGACCAGGCCCGTAATTGCGAGCCCAAACCGGGGCACCCACAAGTAGTTGTCTAGGTGCCCTAGGATGTGAGGTAGATGAAGGCAGTCTGTCCGGATGCAACCGGTCAAGTCTAGTAGTAAGTTGGCGCCCCCAACGAAGTTCAGCTGGACTTCTCCCTGTAGAAGTGGACGGTGTGGTGCGATAAGAAAGGAGAAAGTCAGCCAACCTGTGATGCCAGTCCCCGTAGGTGAGTCTCTTCAAGGCGTCCTTTGCGATGCGCACCATGCGTTCAGCCATACCGTTGGTGGACGGGTGAAAAGGCGCAGACGTGGCATGACGAATCAGGTTTGCCTGTAAGAAAGCTTGGAATTCGGAGGAGGTGAATTGAGGGCCGTTGTCGGACACAATGACATCTGGCAGCCCGTGTGCAGCAAAAATCCCCCTCAGTACCTGAATAGTCTTTGCAGTGGTGGTGGATGAGACAGGCACAACCTCAAGCCATTTTGAATGGCTGTCAACAAGGACCAAGAAGAACTGGCCCTGAAAGGGCCCAGCGTAGTCAATGTGCACCCTAGACCATGGGGACTGTGTTTCCTCCCATCTATGCACAGGAGCTTGGGGCATCTCTGGGCGAGATCGTTGGCACAGGTGGCATGCGTGCACCTTAGCCTCAATATCTTTATCTAAACCAGGCCACCACAAGTGGCTTCGTGCAAGAGCCTTCATACGGACAATGCCAGGATGACCCTCGTGGAGGGATTCTAAGACCCTAGTCCTCATTGAGGTGGGAATGACAACTCTGTTTCCCCAAAGCAGACAACCCTGAGAAAGGGACAGTTCGTTTCTTTTGGACCAGAAACTCTGAAACTCAGGACTAGGGCAGTGCTCAGGCCACCCGGACAGGACCCAGGAGCGGACACGTGAAAGTGTGTGATCTGTACCCGTTTCAGCGGTAACATCCCTGGCACTAAGAGGGAGCTCGGGCAAGGCTTGGATTGATAGAATGTTGACAGCTGGCGCGGGGTCAGCTTCTACTACTGGCAGAGGCAACCTACTGAGGCCATCAGCATGGCCCATTTCTTTCCCAGGCTTGTGGAGTAATGAAAAATCATATGCAGACAAGAAAATAGACCACCTAAGCATTCTAGGGGAAATGATGTGGGGAGTCTGCTTACGTGTGGTAAACAGTCCCAGCAGAGGCTTATGGTCAGTGAAGACCGTGAAATGCCTGCCATATAGAAAATCGTGGAATTTTTTAATTCCAGCAACAACAGCCAGAGCCTCCCTGTCTATCTGAGCGTAGTTGCGCTCGGCAGAAGACAGTGTTCTGGAGTAGTATGCAATAGGAACCTGAGTTCCATCAGACCTGAGGTGACTCAGGACAGCTCCAACCCCGTAGGGGGATGCATCACAAGCGATGCACACAGGAAGAGACTCGTTGAAATGTGCAAGAACACTGTTAGAAGTGAGCAAGGCCTTCACTTCTTTAAAGCAAGCCTCATGTGCTTGTGACCACAGCCACACAGCTTGTTTGTCTAGTAGCCTGTGAAGAGGCTCAGCTACACTAGCTTTATGTGGAAGAAAGGAATTGTAGAAATTCAGGAGGCCTAGAAGGCCTGAAGTTCGGCCTTAGACTTTGGCCTGGGTGCTTCTAAAATAGCAGTTAGTTTGGATTCAGCAGGATGAATCCCAGCAGCATCAATTTTGAATCCCAGAAATTCAGTAGAAGGCACCCCGATCTTGCATTTGTCTTTTCTGAGCTTGAGGCCTGATTCCCTGAATCTTAACAGGACAGCCCTAAGTCTTTCAGCTAGAATGTGTGTGGAGTCTCCTGCAATCAAGACATCGTCAAAGTAGGGGCAGACCCCTGGTATACCTCGTAGTGTGTTTTCCATTACGCTTTGGAAAATCCCAGGAGCGACATTTACTCCAAACTGTAGCCTTTTTACTTTAAAGGCTCCCCTGTGGGTCACAATGGTCTGAGCTATGGCAGCATCATCATCAACAGGCAGCTGTTGATATGCTTGAGCTAGGTCAAGCTTTGCAAAAACACGCCCCCCCTTGAGAGAGGCCAGGATGTGACTGACCACAGGAACAGGATAGGCATGTTGCTGCAATGCCTTATTGAGTGTGCATTTGTAATCAGCACAAATGCGAATGTCCCCATTTGCCTTTAGAGGCGTGACAATGGGGGTCTCCCACGGGCTGGAATCAACAGGTTCTAGGATTCCCTGTTGGATTAGTTTGTCTAGTTCAGTGTCAATCTTACTTTTTAAAGCAAAAGGGACCCTTCTTGCTTTAATCCTAATGGGAGTGACAGTGGGGTCTAGCTTTAAGGACACAGGTGGTCCTTTGAATGTGCCCAGCTGGGGGCTGAAAACATCTGCAAATTCTTTGCAGACTTCCTGTAGGTCGAGTGTTTGTAAGCTGTTGAGTCCTGTGACGTGTATCCCCAGGGCCTCAAACCAATCGAGTCCTATGAGACTCGTTCGTTCACCCCCTACTACTAATAAGTCTAGTGGACCTTCAAAACTCTTGTATTGCACGTTAAGGGTGGCCTCCCCCTTAACACACACTCTTGAGTTCTGAAAATCTGTTAATACAATATCAGAAGGCCTTAACTTGGCCTTAGACCCACTTCTGGAACAAATCTTCCTAAATGTATGCAATGAAATGATGGACAGGGCAGACCCTGTGTCTAGTTCCATAGATAATGGAACCCCTTGTAGCTTCACGTTGAGTGACAGCTTTTTCTTCATGGGCTTGTGTGTGCCTGTTCTACAGATGCTTCTTCGCGAAGCGCAAAACCCTACCCTATTCTGGCTGGGGAATCTGGTACCTTTCAGGCGTTCTTCTTGGGGTTGTGCCTTTCGTCGGCTCAGACACACAGCTGCAATGTGCCCTTGTTTGCCGCATGCCCGGCAGGTAGCGGAGCGGAACTTGCAGTCGGTTCTTCTGTGGCGACCTCCACAGCCGATGCACTTGAGCGGAGCCGAAGAGCTTCCCTTCTGGTTCTCTTCCTTCGCGGGGTGTAGACGGTCGACTTCCTCGTCCGGATCCTCCTCGGAGTTTCGTCGGACGTCTTCCTGGTGCACGGACGCACCCTCTGCACTGTTTCTGATCGGCCGCATGTTTTTGATGGCGCCGCCTGCTGCTTCTTCTGCGGTGACTTCCCTTAAGGCGTCTTGGAAGGATAATTCTTCCTTTGCGAAAAGTCTCTGTTGTAGCTCGCGATGCCTTAACCCGCACACGAATCGGTCCCTCAGTCGTTCCTCGAGGTCCTTGAACTCGCAGGGCTTGGCGGCCTTCCGTAGCGCGGCGATGTATTCCTTGGCTGTTTCACCGGACCGTTGATCCCTCTGCTCGAAGGTGTGGCGCCATGAGATAACGGACACCTTGGGGTGGAAGTGCTCTTTCATCAGCTTCTTCAGGTCTGCGTAGCTTACAGACTCTACTGGAACAGGTGCTGCAAGGTTTTCTGCGATTTCGAAGGCGTCTTGGCCGCAAACGCAAAGCAGGGTGGCGGCCTTCAAGCTATCTTCCCTCACTTGGTTTGCCTTGAAGTAGTTCTCCATTCTGGATACGTAGGACTCCCACCGCTCTGGATGTGAGACGTCGAATTCCGAAAGCCTTCCGATTTTCGCCATCTTCGGATCTTCAGGAGACGGGTCTATCAGCCAGCCTACCCCCGAATGCGCACCGGATTGGCGGGCAGCTGCCGAGTCGACGCCGTTCCTCTTCCGCCGCTCAGGACTCCTTGGGTAAGCTTACACTTCTTCCTTTCCAGGTAGTGCAAGGCATCCCACCTTCGTCGCCAGTGTTGAGTCCGTGGCGGGAAAACAGACACGAGAAGCAGCTGGAGTTCTCAGTTTCTTTTATTCAGCGTTCAGCTTACAGGAAGATGGCTTCAGCCTCGCCCAAACGCCTCGCAGCCTCTTATATAGGCAACTCCCGGGTAAAAGGGTTACTTTTCCCGCGCCAGCACCCGCGCATGCGCACGGCGCTGGCGACAGCCTGTCTGGTCCCGGGCAGCTTTGCACCTGCCCGGGACTGCCTGCAAACGCCCGAGCCGTTTGCAAAGGCTCGGGACATAACAGGTAGTCCCTGACCTATGATCCCAAATGAACCCAAATTTTCTGTTGCTAACTGCAACATTTGTTAAGTGAGTTTTGCCTCATTTTACAACTTTTCTTGCCACAGTTGTTAAGTGGATCACTGAGGTTATTAAAATAGTAAAATGGCTGCTAAGTGACTATGGCTTCCCCACTGACTTTGTTTGTTAGAAGGTCACAAAAAATGCTCACATGACCCCAGGACACAGCAGCTGTCATAAATACGAGTCAGTTGGCTAAGCATCTGAATTTTGATCACGTGACCATGGGGATGCTGCAATGGTTGTAAGAGTGAAAAACATCATAAGTCACTTTTTTCAGTGCCATTATAATTATGAACGGTCACTAAATGAACTGTTGTAAGCCGAGGACTATCTGTATGAGTAAACATTTTTTCCCTATTCCTAATGTTTATATGGCTTATCTTCAAAATGGCTCACCTTGTTATAGATCAACCTCTGCGGCCATTTTTAAACCTGCCTACCATCCTGTTTAAATTAAGGTATGGAATTATTTTGTAATCTTATTGAAGTTTCTTTGAAATATGCCCATTATCAATAAATTTTGGGTCAATACCCTGTCTGGGAGTTTGGCCTTGCACATACAATAAATGAAGCTAAGAAGAGTACATATTACCCAAACCAAATTCTTTGGATGCAAAATTGAGAACTGGACATGCACGTGTTTATCAGCGACTGCAGCAAAAGTACCAGCATACATTGTTCCTTAGGATTTTGGCCCCTACTTGCTATTCCACATGATATTTTTCTTTAAATATTTGTTTACACATGCTCCCATTATTCCACAGGATTCCTGGCCAAACTGTGCTGTTAGCTAAGTAAAGAGAAAAGGAGAGGAAGAGGAATTGACAGCACAGAGCAGAACTGCCACACAATCAGTAACTCAAGCGGTGCCTGACCCCGAGACTACTGTGATTTGGAGGAATCAGAGGGGTGAAAATATGGGACTTTGCAGGAAGAGAAAAGCTTTCATGGAGGAGAAGGACGCTGTTTTTCTGAGGAGAAAGATCACCCTTACTCGGGCCATTGCATTGGCTGTAGGCACCATGGTGGGCAGTGGGATCTTTATTTCTCCTAAAGGGGTATTGCAAAACTCAGGCAATGTAGGGGTCTCATTACTTGTATGGCTCGCTTGTGGGATTCTGTCTCTGTTTGGTGAGTTGTGCAGCTTTCATTTTTTTTAAAAAAAAAAACCTTGTTGATTTTTACATACTGAGAAACTCAAAATATTAGAAGATAGCTAGATGATAGTAGATAGATAGATAGATAGATAGATAGATAGATAGATAGATAGATAGATAGATAGATGTTACATAGATGATAGATAAGATGATAGATAGATATAGTTGATAAATAATGATATAGTTGATAAATAATGATAGATACAGATGATAGATGATAGATAATGATAGATATAGAAGAGATAGATAGATAGATAGATAGATAGATAGATAGATAGATAGATAGATAGATAGATAGATAGATAGATAGATAATCTTTATAATATATCTGATGATAGCAATATCCAAGCAAGGACTTGGCAGAGTGAACTCCTAAAAGGGGGGGGGGCTCCAGTGGGAAGAGGGAGAATCTAATATTTGAACTAATGTGGAATATGTGGCTTTTGCTGGCTTACAATGATCACTTTGTGCCAGTGAAACAGCAGGGAGCCATTATGGACCACAGGGCTGTAAGAAACTATTGCTAGTAGAATGGGGAAACAAAATGCATGCATGTCTACCACGGAAATCTGGGCCTGCTTGTTCCCCTCGGTGATAGCCTTCTACTGCCCTACAGAATAGCTTCTTTTCTTCTCAATCCATCAGTTCCATATTAAACATGGGGGTTAAAAAGAAAAAGAAAAAAATGAGAAAGAACAGTGTGTATGCCAGATATTTCCCCTCTATCCCATGCTAATTCTCCCAAATGAACATTCCTGTCTCTACCACCCGCCCACCCACCCTGAGTTTGCCTATCATGTGTTGGAGACTTAATGTGTTTTGGATGGCACAGACTAAGAGGCTCACTCCCTTCAGATGGGCACTGTATGCCTTGTTCCCTGAAGTTCCATTTGCATATGAAGTTTCTCTTTTCTTTGGCTCAAAACAACTCCCTCTTTTTCACATCTATATGCCTCAGGGGTATACGCTGTTTATTATTGCCAAAGAAAGTGGATGAAAGTGGGCAGCAGTTTTTTAAATGTTTGCATTTACTGGTTTATATGTCTGGTGTAAATTTAGCAGCCCTTCTATCTTTAAATAGAGTTAAAATGCACTTTATTACAGGGAAAAAGAGGCTATGTGTATTCAGATGCTAAGGTTTGATGAGCCAGGCCCCTGATCCCCATTTATGTGGTTCTTCATTTTAAAAATCACATATTGCTAGGTATCCCTTTAAATAAAAGGACATGCTCCAATAGAAGCTTATCCTGTGAAAAGTAAAGCAGATGGTCATCCTACATCTGTTGGTAAGTCAGACTGGCAGTCTGGTGTAGCCCTCTAAAATTGCCCACAGTACACCTGGCATAGCATTGCTTCACAGTACTGTATAACATTTCACAAGGAGCTCAAAGGAATAAAGAAGAGGTCCCCAACCTTTTGGCACCAGGAACCGCTTCTGTGGAGAGAGGTTTTTCCATGGACTGGAGAGTGCATGGTTTTGTGTGCTGCCTGCATCCCATGGATGGGGCTTTGCTAGTTTGTGCGGACCGGTTGCTGGCATGCCACGGCCTGGTACTGGTCCACAGACCGGTGGTTGGGGACCCTTGGTAGTCCTCGACTTACAACCACAGTTGAGCCCAACATTTCTGTTTCTATGCAAGACAGTTTGTGAGTTTTCCCCCATTTTATGATCTTTCTTACTACAGTTATTAAGTGAATCACTGCAGTTATTAAATCAGCAAGACAGCAGTTAAGGGAATCTAGTTTCCCATTGACTTTGCTTGTCAGAAGGCCTCAAAAGGGATCACATGACCCCAGGACATTGCAACCGTCATAAATATGAACCAGTTGCCAAGTATCTGAATTTTGACCACGTGACCATGGGGATGCCGCAACGGTCATAAGTGTGACAAACAGTCATAAGTCACTTTGTTCAGTGCTATTATAACTTTGGCTGGTCACTAAACAAATAGTTGTAAGTCAAGGACTGCCTGCAAGGCATGTGGACTACACCATGTCCTACCCAAATCTTGTAATTCTGGCAGCTACAAAATATATACTCTGGGATCTACTCACAGCTTTCAAATGAGGTATTTTCTGCCTTAAAAGGATGCAGAAACACTGATGGAAGAATAGGAGATGGCCTTTAATACTATAACTCATTTATTGAGGTTTCTTTGAATCCTGGTTGTATTTTTAATACCTGTTTTGCCATAATGTAATGTATTCTTTTTATGGTGGTTTAAGCTTTTGAGTGGCTAGGGAACAATAGTAAAAGAGACTAAAACATTATTTTAAATAAAATGACTGAGCTGGAGAAATCCAGGTAAAAATCCCCCTCTCTCCCAAGCAATCTTGTGTCATTCATTGTGTTTTAATTACAACTACTTTATAGCTGTGATGCACAGATAAATGTTTGCACCATTTGAAGTGCATCCAAGTCCTTGGAGGAAAAATATATTCACAGTGATAATAAGTACTGCATCTTTCTAGAAATGAATTTCACGTCATGGTGTTCAGTTAGTTATTCACTTGGGTGAAAATTACTGTCCAACTTTTTCTGGTCCAAGGGTCACTCTTGCTCTTTTAATAGTTTACCGGTGAATCATTTCCAAAACTGGGATACTGATAAATTCAAACAACCAAATAAATAAAATAAAAACTGAGGGACTATCTCAGAGCCAAAATACCCTCTGAATTTGATTTCATTTACTTTTAAACATAACAAATTATTAATGATAACACCCCAGTTGTTTTACATCTCTCTGTGTTATGTTAAAAAGTACATCTAATAATAGTTTTAATACAAAGGTATCCCTAGTTTAAAATGTGGCAGGGGTGAACAAGATGAGATGTTAGGATCAAATATGCCTCAATATGGCCCCAAATGTCCATATTACATGTGCAGAAAGATCCATTGAGTTTAATGGAGCTTAGTCCCAGGACAATGGACATGACTTATACCTCAATTTTTTGATTGATTTCCAGGTGCTCTGACCTATGCAGATATTGGAACATGTATTACAAAGTCAGGCGGGCATTATATTTATCTTTTAGAGACACTTGGACCATTGCCAGCTTTCCTCCGATTGTGGGCTGAATTTATTATGATACGGTAAGGATAGCTTTTCTTTGCCTTCCTTGTCTGAAAAGGAAGGAATGCCAGATGATGGGAAGATTTATTGGGAGCTTTGTCTCTTTAAATCTCTCAATGGGGCATGTTCCAGCTGTGTTTTTAAAGGCAGACAGCTGGTGAATGGAGCACCACTGAGATCTAACAAATGTTTGGAAGGGGGGAGGGGGGAAAGCATCTAAGAATGACAGGGAACAGTGGGGAAGAACGAAGAATGGAAGCAATAATAGACAAAGCTCTAGGGAGACTCCAGATCAAAAACAATCCCAAACCAAAGACTTATTCCTTTCAGTCATAAGATGGATGGTTTTCTTCATTTCTTACGGTGCAGATACCACTGCCTGGCTTGCAATAAACTAAAGGCTTGCCTCTCTGACTCTATAAAAATCAATTTGGGATTGATTGGATGACATTGTCCTCTCCCACCAAGCCAGATCATTCTTCAGTCAACTGAATTGTCTTCCAGGGAACATCTCAGAGCTATAGACTTGAGAGAGATCCCTGCAATTGATGGATGGCAAATCTTGCATCAATAGAGTAGATCCATTCCTATTGCAGGCCAACACAATGATTATGCAAGAATCCTACCCTCACCATGATCAGAACATCCAGATTATTTCCTTTCAACAGAGTCCACAGAGTATGGCAAAAAAACCCAAGATGGCAGTTGTGATGTGGCATCAAAACTTTAGCTTTTTTTATATGTGATGTATATGTAGCTATAATCCCAGAGTCATCTTGATTCTTTTGACCACATCTTATGGACAATCCTGCTCCTTTTCTTTTTGTTATTATATTATCATAAAGGTCATAAGTCAGAAAAATGAGAAGAGGATAGCACAAAATAATAGTTTTGTAAAAAACTATTATTAATATGTTATGCTTTGTAACATTGTACTAATGATTTAGTGTGTTGGCTGAAACTAAGGACTTGGACTTTGTATTTAGTTAGTTATGTGATTTATCTACTGACTGCTAGGCTCTAGGTAGCTTATAGAATTCACAATATTTAAACATTAAATGATATAGTATATTTAATTTATATATTAAGAACAATAAAAATAATTAAAACCAGAAGTGGCTTATTCCACAAATTATAACTGAACTAAACCATGACGTAATGCAAGGTGTGAACAAAATCCACCATTTTGATTAAATGATAAACTTGGGTATGCCAGACATGAAAAATAGACATTTCTCAGACTTGAGTTCTCCTCATGTTCTATCCAATCTTCCAGAGGAATATTTCTGAAAGCAGTCACTATTTTCACTTTTAATTTCATTTCACTTGTAGATTTTTTTCATAATGGAAAACCCACAAGCCCTCAAAACCAACAAAAAAGCAAAAGATTTGTACAGTATCTCATATTCTGGCTTTTATATTCCAGCCCTGCAAATGTAGCTGTGGTGTCTTTGGCATTTGGTCGATACCTCATTGAGCCTTTCTTTGCTTCTTGTCATGTCCCTCCTCTGGCTGTGAAACTGATCACTATGGCAGGAATTAGTGAGTATCAGTGAATGCATGATCGAAGTATTTGTAGTTTATTATCAATAAACAGGTATTTACTGCAGTCTTTAGTATCAATGTTTTTTAAGTATCTTTGCTCTGAAGTAAGATAAACAACTGGAAGTCACTTATTGCACAACAAATCTGATCAAATCTATGAAGCTACCTGTATAGGAATAGTTGATGAACACAGAATCCAAAACTTGCTAAGCTGATGTCTCACTTTCTATTTCTTACATTTAATCAGGGCAGAGCAGAGTCAAAATCCTGTAACAATGATTAGTACATACTTAGCTCATTTATTTTGACTATGGGTTAACACACATGATAAACAATGATATGGTTTGTTTGGTTTTAGTTTAGTATATAGTGTGAACACAGGCTTTGGCAATTTGTAAACCAGGTTTTCTATTTCATGTTTTATCTGTATCCAGTTGGTTTGTTCAACTATTGTTTAGCATGATTTGTGAACTCAGGATTTTTCTCAATCCTCAGGATTTTTCACAACCCTAGTTGTGGGAGGGAGAATTGTGGTTTTTCCAGATATACATAATCTTTTTTTTCTTTTTATTGTTTTCTTCTCTTTTAAAGTACAAGCTGCCTATTATACTCTGGAATCAGGATGCCTCTAAATATAATAAAAGAAATATAAATCCCTTTGTTAATAGAAATATCTTATCATTTTTCCAGATATCAATAAGCTCATGCATATGCTTAAAACTGTGCAGTCTCTCAAATACCCAAAATTGTCTTATTATTTTCTTTTTTTATTAGTTTATAGTATAAAATACAAAAATACAAAAACAAATAGGAAAAATAGGGGAGGGAAAAGGGAAGGGAAAGTACAGAAAAGAGCGGAAAAATAAAGAAAAGGTGTTGACTTCCAACTCCCTTTGGTGCAGTAAACTAAGATAGTAACATCAAACCACAACTTTTTTTTTCAAAACACTTTTTATTAGTTTTCCATTTTACACCAACACAGCTTAAGAACCCACGTGAATACGTTGTGGTCCATTTTTTAAAAAACAAACAATAACATAGTAAATATATACCCATTATTTCTTAAAAATTCCCTCTCTATCTATATAGAATATTATAATCAGATTAGTACATTTTCATTGAGTTCATTCATTACTATGTCTAACCATCGTCTACATTAATCAAAAAAAATCTTTAATCTATAAAAACCTGTATTTCTTCTCACATTTAACTTAAGCTTAGTGAACTCCATTTATTTAAAGACATTATAATCAAATCAATATCTAAAACCAATTCATTCACTAATATAACATTTCATCCAAATCATATAATTAAAAATAGACTAACATTCTCTATCTATTTATATTGTTATAGACTCATTAAAACCTTTCTAAAACAAATTTTCATTGAATATATCATTCTATATAAATTTCATTAATCAATAAAAGTTTACAAATTCATTATCCATCCCAAAGATCCTGTATCATGCTTTCTTAATTTTACAAATATTTAATCTTGAACTAACATATTCATTTACTATTCAGGTGCCCCAAGTGTGAACTCCAAAAGTAAATTCTTCTCTTTCTCACCAATCTTCTATTGTTTTTCATTATTTCTCCAAATCTCCAATAATTAATTCCATCATTTCCCATATTTCAGTTCTTTTCTCATTATACCATCTCTAATATCAAAAACATATAAAGCCCTTTTAACAAAGTCCAAGTCCAAATTAATCCAAATTGCTATAAGACCATTACCACATTACTATAATCAGATTTAATATTTATATCTTATTCTGGGTTTCTTTCTAATACAAACAGGTTTCCATAATCGGGCCTCCGCCTGCCACACTATACACTCAAAAAAAAAAAAAGCTCCCATTGTAAATTTTGTTAAGTTAATATAAAAGTTATAGTTAGTCTGAATGGCTCGTGGCAGAACATCATTTCCCCTTTCTTTTAACATTGAATAAATTTCACTTAAAGTCCCTTCTTTTATGTCGTCCTCTTTGATCACATGTTTCTCTTCTTCCCATAATTTTTCCTCTCTCTCAAGTTCAAATGGCGTCTGCAGATCAACTTGTCTTTCTGAAGTGAGATCATCTAGTTCCTTATCATAAGTTCTTTGTCCATTAATGTCAAATCTTTTTTCCAAAATCAATTGATTGTCCAACTGTGAATTTACTTCTTCTACCTCAGTAAGCAAGGTATAAGCCTCTTGTATATAAACTGATGTTTCACTTAGTCTTTGTCTTTTTCCTTGTCGATACCAAGAAATCTCTTTTAAACAAGCAATTATCTCATCCGTATTTTCCAAAATTTTAGCCAGAATATACTTGTAAAAGTCTACACTGGTTTCCTCCATCTTTATTATCTTTCAAGTCTTTATCCTTTTAGAGGAGGCTATATTTAAAAAGCGATCACAATATCCATCTCCTCCCAGTTTCCTCGCCTTTTTCCTTTGTACAACATGAAAGCCTTTCCAGCGAAGAAAAGATAGCAAGTACAATTAATAAGTTTATCAAAAGGTGTCGCCCAGAAAGTAATCAGATGTTCAGTCCATCTAGACACCATAAAGGTACAAGCAAACAATATGCTCCAAATATTATAAAAAACTTTCTTGAGGCTCTCAATATCCAAAAATAAAATCAGTCATTAAAACAAAAATAAGTTTAATCCTTTGTGCTTCTCTTCCTCCATTTAACAAGCCGCTTCATCAAAAAAGGGAGTAATTCCAAGAGAAAAAAAAAAACTTTTCACAGGCATAAAGAAAGTAGAGGTAAAAGGAAAGTCTCACCGAGTTCTCCATGGTGGGTCCATTTGCTTAGCTGATCTTGTGGCTTGTGGTTGGCACAGCTAAATGATCGGCCATTTTACTGGCCGATCTTTACCCTGTCGGCCCAAAGGAGATACTCGGTGCACAGAGGACGCCACCGCTCCTCTGCAACTGCCGAGAAGCCTCCTCAATGGTAGACGCTCCTCCAAAGCATCTTTTCGACCCTCTCAGTGGTCTACCGGCAGGGGAAACTCGATCGGCAAAGGGACGACTCCCTTTGCTTAACTGCACCACTGCAAACTGGAACCAGAAGCCAAACTACAACTTTTTATATAGTGGTAAAATTAGTCATTTCTATATCAACAAAACTATCTCATTGGTAAAACCCAAAATCAAAGTTTCATTTTTTCCCACCTCAAGCACAAAGTCCAGATGTGGTTTCCAAGTAGTTAAAAAAAAGTCCTTATATTTTTTGCTTTTATCAAAACAGTCAATTTAGCCATTTCTGCTAACTCCATCAGCTTTTGCAGCCATTGTGGGAATCAAAGTATCCTTCCATTTTTGTCCATAAAGTAATCTTGTTGCCATCAACATGTTGTTGTTGTTGTTAATTGCGAAGTCGTGTTCGACCCATCGCGACCCCATGGACAACGTTCCTCCAGGTCTTCCTGTCCTCTACCATCTTCTGGAGTCCATTTAAATTCACACCTACTGCTTCAGTGACTCCATCCAGCCATCTCATTCTCTGTCGTCCCCTTCTTCTATTGCCCTCAATCTTTCCCAGCATTAGGCTCTTCTCCAGTGAATCCTTCCTTCTCATTAGGTGGCCAAAGTACTTGAGTTTCAACTTCAGGATCTGGCCTTCTAAAGAGCAGTCGGGGTTGATCTCTTCTAGGACTGACCGGTTTGAACGCCTTGCAGTCCAAGGGACTCGCAGGAGTCTTCTCCAGCACCATAGTTCAAAGGCCTCAATTCTTTGGCGCTCAGCCTTTCTTATGGTCCAACTTTCACAGCCATACATTGCAACTGGGAAAACCATGGCCTGGACTATATGCACTTTTGTTGGCAGGGTGATGTCTCTGCTTTTTAGAATGCTGTCTAGATTTGTCATAGCTTTCCTCCCCAGGAGCAAGCGTCTTTTAATTTCTTGGCTGCAGTCCCCATCTGAGGTGATCTTGGAGCCCAGAAAAATAAAATCTGTCACTACCTCCATTTCTTCCCCATCTATTTGCCAGGAATTGAGAGGGCCGGATACCATGATTTTGGTTTTCTTAATGTTGAGTTTCAAGCCAACTTTTGCACTCTCCTTCTTCACCCGCATCAAGAGGCTCTTTAGTTCCTCTTCACTTTCTGCCACTAGAGTGGTATCATCTGCATATCTTAGGTTGTTGATACTTCTCCCGGCAATCTTAATTCCAACTTTTGATTCATCTAGCCCTGCCTTTCTCATGATGTGTTCTGCATATAAGTTAAATAGGCAGGGCAACAGTATACAGCCTTGCCGGACTCCTTTTCTAATTTTGAACCAATCAGTGGTTCCGTGTTCGGTTCTCACTGTTGCTTCTTGACCCGCATATAGGTTTCTCAAGAGACAAATGAGATGGTCTGGTACTCCCATCTCTTTAAGAACTTGCCACAATTTGTTGTGATCCACACAATCAAAGGCTTTTGCATAGTCAATGAAGCAGAAGTAGATATTTTTCTGGAACTCCCTAGCTTTCTCCATGATCCAGCGTATGTTGGCAATTTGATCTCTAGTTCCTCTGCCTCTTTGAAATCCTGCCTGTACTTCTGGTAGTTCTCGATCCACATACTGCTGGAGTCTAGCTTGTAGGATTTTAAGCATAACTTTACTAGCATGTGAAATGAGTGCAATGGTGCGATAGTTTAACATTCTTTGGCATTGCCTTTCTTTGGAATTGGAATGTAAACTGACCTTTTCCAATCCTGTGGCCACTGTTGAGTTTTCCAAATTTGCTGGCAAATTGAGTGTAGCACTTTTACTGCATCGTCTTTTAAGATTTTGAATAGCTCAGCTGGAATACTGTCACCTCCACTAGCTTTGTTGTTGCTCAGATTTTCTAAGGCCCATTTCACTTCACATTCTAGGATGTCTGGTTCGAGGTCAATGACCATCTCATTGTGGTTATCTGGGATGTTAAGCTCATTCTTGTATAGTTCTTCTGTGTAGTTTTGCCATCTCTTCTTAATCTCTTCTGCCTCTGTTAGGTCTCTGCCATTTTGGTCCTTTATCATGCCCATCTTTGCATGAAATGTTCCCTTCATATCTCCAATTTTCTTGAAGAGATCTCTTCATTTTTGTCCATAAAGTAATCTTGTTGCCATCAACATATATAACATCAAAGTTCCAATTTTTTTCCAAGTCTTTTTCCATTAAACCCAAAAGAAAAGTTTCTGGTTTTATCTTAATATTCACTTTAAGAATCTTCTGTATTAGAATATGAATCCTACTCCAATATTTCTTTGCAACTGTCTTACAATTTTCTTAAACTTGTTCCATCCGCACACATAGCTGGGTATATTTAAATCACACACTAGAACCAAATTTACCCAGCAATTACATTTTGTTTTGCCCCAGTGTTGGAACCCTATTTAAATTATAAACCAACATTTCTATGATTATGTGAGCCATGGTGGTGCAGTTGTTGGAATGCAGTATTGCACGCTAACTGGGCCCACATCCTGGAGTTCGATCCTAACAGGGCTTGAGATTAACTCAGCCTTCCATCCTTCTGTGGTCGGTAACATGAGACCCCAGATTGTTGGGGGTAATATGCTGACTTTGCAAACTGCCCAGAGAGTGCTGTAAAGCACTATGGGGTGGTAAATAGATCTAAAGGCTATTGTTATTATTACTTGTGAAATCTTCAACATCATTTTTACTATCTTTTTTTTCTTGCTTCCCCAAAGCCCTTTCCAAACTCTCCCTCAGTTCCCTTCTCCATTTATCCCCCACTTCTCACCCTCCCAACCCATATGAACAGAAGCTCCCTGAGAATTAAATCCTCTAATTGTTCTAGGATAGAGGACAGCTATTCTTTTTTTATATATATATAATATTTTTTTATTTTTCCAAACTCTCCCCCATACATATACCGTGATATTTATCAGATGTTAACATACATTCTTTTTACATTCATATATAAGATACTTTTAATAAAATGAAATAAATTCATACACATGACTTTTGGTGTTGCTCGCCCATTTCCCCTTTCACTGTATCCACACTCCTTCTTCTCTACCTTCTTTCTCCCTTTCTTCTCTTCCCTACCTCCCTCTTCTTCCTCTAGAGGACAGCTATAGAAAGGAAATAAATAAGATAAAATAAAAGAATGGAAAAGAATTATATAGAAGTTAATATCAAGTAGGGAAATTAGAGCTCAGAATAGAGGACAGCTATTCTGAACTCTAATTTCCCCTACTTGATATTAACTTCTATATAATTCTTTTCCATTCTTTTATTTTATCTTATTTATTTCCTTTCTATTTCCAGTCTTATGACACAATACTGAACATTTTATAACTACCAGCTATCCTGTAAGTCCCTAATGCCAGTAATTCCTTTTATCCTATTTTTTTCTTTAAAAGATATATCAGTTCTTTAAGCATCATCTCTGTTAATTCTTCACACATTCTTTATAAAATAATCTTGTTAAAATTCTATTCGTCTCTGGAAGCATAGAAACAGTCACTCTTTCTTGTGGTTGAACTAAAACTCTCTTGAAAGGAACCTCCATTTACACGTTATTCCATTTTTTTTATAGTTCTTCTGTTAAAGATTTGAAGGCTTTTCTTCTTTGTAACATGGCCAGATTATAATATTTGGAGATAAAATATACAGTTAATCAGTCTTTTCTACATGTTCTCTAATTCCAAAATCATTTCTTTTATTCTGATCCTGGGTATCGGTTTAATGTCTGTAATTATCTTTTTGAACTCTTTCAGTATCAAACACACTTTTTTAAAAGGCAACAGAAGTCTGGGCAAATTCTGAAACTTGAGAAGAAAATTATTTTCACTGAATTCATTAGTAACATATTGACTGACATCTGTTGGATCATATTAGCTGACTTCCCACATTCCACCTAATATTTGTTCAGTTGCTTAATTAGTTTTCATATCAAATCAGTTTAAAGTTTCATCCTCAACAGTGATTAATTTTTGTGCACTCCATCAGAACATCCTTCCCCATGAAATCTTCATTACTAGAGTGGAGTGCCAGTACAGCTACATTTGAATCATTCATGTAAGCTTCTGCCTTTTGCAAATTATTTTTGTTAGTTATCTTTGTTACTACTAATATTACCAATCAGCTGGGTAGTAGACAAATGCAAACAGTGAAAAATATTGGAAAAGCTGGCTTGGTAACAACAACCAGTTCAACACACCGTCTTCTCCAGCGACTAGCCGCTCCTCACCTTCACCACCAAGATAATCCTAAATTGATATTTGCTCCTCCAAAGAAAGTTAGACAGTTAGACAATCAGTAATCCCCGATTGAAGCAAACCATGGCTTAGTCAATGTGTGAATAAGAAAGTTATTTGAATTCAGCTTCTTCCTGTGCTCAGCTTAAACCCCACTATTTTGTGGAACAGACAGCATATGTATAAGCACCTTGATGGATCAGTATATTCAGTGAGTGGGTGATGTGAAGAAAGTCATGTTAACTCTCTGGAATGTAGCTGTTTATTCAAAGCAGATTAAAGCCACCTCTTTGCATAAATCTATCAAAAAACATTGGAAGCAGCAGCATATTTTTGTTATGTATAGCTAGCTATTATTTTCATTAGTGTTTTTCCCCAAAAACTAAATAAAAAAGAGTTTCAAGCAATCTGATTAATGTTTAGTTATTTCTTTAATTATTTAGGTCTTTCTATGTTATTTCGCATTTCTTATTCTATCATATTGACTCAGTGTGCATTTTTCCTATTAATTAGCCTAATATAATAGTTTAAAAGATTTTACCTGCATAATTTTTAAGGTAAATTACTTGCAGTGAGGCAATCTCTCTTGCTTTCAGGATTACGGAATGTTCCTATCCAAACTGATTGTTATCACTTTATATAATAATAATAATAGTAGTAGTAGTAGTAGTAGTAGTAGTAGTAGTAGTAGTAGTAGTAGTAGTAATAGTAGTAGTAGTAAAGTTGGAAGGGACCTTGAAGATCATCTAGTCCAACCCCCTGCTCGGGCAGGAAACCCTATACCATTTCGGACAAATGGCTGTCCAGTCTCTTCTTAAAAACCTCCAGTGTTGGAGTAATCACCGCTTCTGGAGGCAGGTTGTTCCACTGGTTAATTGTCAGGAAGTTTCTCCTTAGTTCTAGGTTGCTTCTCTCCTTGCTTAGTTTCCACCTGTTGCTTCTTGTCTGCCTTCAGGTGCCTTGGAAAATAGCTTGACTCCCTCTTCTTTGGGGCAGCCCCTGAGATATTGGAACACTGCTATCATGTCCCCCCTCGTCCTTCTCCTCGTTAAACTAGCCATACCCAATTCTGTTCCTCATATGTTTTAGCCTCCAGTCCCCTAATCATCTTTGTTGCTCTTCTCTGTACTCTTTCTAGAGTCTCAGCATCTTTTTTACATCGCGGTGACCAAAACTGGATGGTCATTTAGTTTTGCAAATATGATATAGGAAAGCCCAGTGCTTTTTTTGTAAAAAAAAAAAAAAAAAAGTGCCAGAACTCACACACGTCATACAACCCGCCTTGCCTACCCTACAAGGTTCCATCCCAAAAAGGTGCCGGAACTCCGTTCTGGGCATTCTATGAAAAAAAAAAACCCTGGGAAAGCCCTAACTGAAAGCATAATTAAATCAGCTTATGGAGCTCTGATCATTTTTTTTCTTTCTCTCTCTCTCCTTCTCTCCCAATTCAGCCTTAGCCGTAGCCCGGAATTGTTGGAGTGTGAGTTGGGCTGCCAAAGTACAGACGGGGCTCACTGTTCTGAAGATGATCACTGTGGGTCTAATTATTGTTCCTGGGCTCTTGGCTCTTGGAAATGGTAAGACTAAACAAAAATACCATGCGGAATGGGATGACATGGAGCACCAGAAGTGGAGGATGCCAAAATTAACAAAAGAAAAAGCAAGGGGATATTGGCATTGGAAAGATAAAGACCATAGGAAAGAGAGATAGAAGACACCAGGGACTGACCACTCTCAGACACACTTGAATGTTTGCTCTTTGATCCTTTATTTGAAGGGTTATCTTATCCAAGTCAGACTTAATTTGTTAGTCTAAAGCAGCAGCTCCCAACCTTTTGGGCACCAGGGACAGATTCCATGGAGAGAGTTTTTTTTTCCATGGATCGGAGGGAGCAGTGTTTTTGTGTGCTGCCTGCATGCCACAGATGGACCTTTACTTGTTTACGTGGATTGGTTTCTGGCATCCATGGACTGGTACCAGTCTAGGGACCGGGGATTGGGGACCTCTGGTCTAAGCTGCCAGGAACCTTTCTGTTACTCTTAAAGATTCATGCATACATTGAAATTATGTAGTTTCAGCTAGCTCAGCATTTCCCACCTGTTCTTTTCCAGAGATATACCTCTATAGTCCCCACAAAACTATATTATTAGATTCCAGCTTTTAGTTTCTACTACCATGGTCACTGTTAAGGGAACTGGAATTGTGCAACAACTCAAGTAAATTTAGTCTCAATGAAGCTGTCAAAGCAGTACCCATGGAAATCAAGGATCCTTCACACGTGCTTCTGAGATTCCACCAGCAATTCTTCCTCCCTTTTCCTGTTTCCTATTCTGGGTATTTTCCACTCAGAGTCATCTCAAACTGCAAGATGAGCAGCAAATAAATATGATGATAGTAGTAATAATAACAGAAAGTTCTCCTATTGTTTAATTTCCTTGCCAGACACTGATGTTGATATTTCCTCTCTCTCTCTCTCTCTCTCTCTCTCTCTCCCTCCCTCCCTCCCTCCCTCCCTCCCTCCCTCCCTCCCTCCCTCTCTCTCTCTCTCTCTCTCTCTCTCTCTCTCTCTCTCTCTTCCATTTACTCTAAAAGCAGATTGAAATATTGTCATGCCAACAACTTCATTTCTTGCAGGGGTGTCCATAGATATGGTTAAAAAAAAAGTCAAAATGATGGCTGCAATGATGAGACTGAACCTTCAGTACAACACAATAATAATAATAGTAAATGTGCAGGACTTTGCATCATCACAGCTGCCATCTGGTTTTTTTTAACAATCATATTTTGTGGATACCCCGATATCTTCAGAAGGCCTATGGGATAAGGAGAAGGCAAACAATAATACAGAATAAGAATATTTCTTTGGGTTTTTTAAAAGAAGAGTGCTATTGATTTAGGTAGCCCTTACACTCCAGGAATCTTAGATCTTAGATTTTTACCTGGTTTTCTTGTTCAGGTGATACCAAAGCTTATATTAGAAAGATGCTAATTATGAGGTAGTCCTCAACCTACCTTATAATTTAATGACCATCCAAAATTACAACACTGAAAAAAATGACTTATGACCATTTTTCTCACTTATGACCATTGCAGCATCCCCATGGTGACATGATCAAAATTCAGACACTTGGCAACTGACTCATACTTATGACGGTTGCAGCATCCCAGGGTCATGTGATCCCTGTGTGCAACCATCTGACAAGCAAAGCCAGTAACAACAGTGCTACTAATTTAACAACTGCAGCGATTCACTTAATAACTATGGCAAGAAAGATCATTAAATGGGGCAAAATTCACTTAACAAATGTCTCACTTAGCAACAGAAATGCTGGGCTCAGTTGTGGGCATAAGTCGAAGACTATCTGTATTGTTTGTTACAAGAAAGAGGGAAAAATGTCTTATTTTTTGCTAGGTCATAATGAACATTTCCAGAATAGTTTTGACACAAGTTCCTTAACACTTGAAAAGCTGCCTCTTGCTTTTTATTCCGGGATGTTTGCTTATGGAGGATGGTAAGTTTCTAGATTATGAACTTTTTAACTTTTTTCCTTTTCTAAATGGTAGAAGGGACATTGATGTGCTCCCAAAGTTGTAACTATTTTTTTTAAATATATCTATTTGGAAATCATTACATTTAATCAACTTTCAATCAAATTTATAGCAGGGTATAAATATGTTAAGACATATGATTGGTTTGCTTTTATTTATTTTTAAATTATGTATGTTGACATTCCAAAGAGAATTTTCCTGGGATTTGAGTTTAGCATATGGTATGAGCAAACACTATTAGTTGTATAGTAGGCATTATGAGTTCATGCAACTTATCAGCTCAAGCAATAGTTGGGCAATGGATTAGTAACCTTAATGTTCTCAATTGCAGTATGTCTGCTATTTTTCCCTAAATGTATTACAAACATTAAAAAAAAAGCCCTGATATGCTGCCTTTTTAAGGTTGATAGTCTGTCTGAATGAACTGTGAATTCCATTTCTAAAGACAGAAACCTTACTTTAAATTATAAAGGAATTTTGTAATTGGCTTGCTGCTGATTATGTGGTTAGGCATTAGACAAAAAGTATGGCTCTCCTTTAAGATGAAATGCAAATTCTCGACTAGAATAACCTATTTGGCACGAAGTGGATCAGAGCATATTTTGACTCTTTTATTTGTTTGCTTGTTTCAGGTTCTATATAAACTTTGTAACTGAAGAGATTGTAAATCCTAAAAAGTAAGTGTGCAGGAATAATCAGCCATTTTGCATGTATTATTGTTATAATATGTGACATCTAGAGGGTGTTCTTGCCAAGGAAATTCAGAAGCTATGGATGATACAAACTACAGTCTCAACCAAGGAGAGAACTAAACAATTAAAGAGGGAAGAAGAAGATTAGACGACCCAGAAGTTTGCCGGACAACTGAGAAATCCAGGGAGGAATTTGAAATGTTGTAGATGAGTAAAACTGAGTAGTTAGCACTTGTTCAAATACAGGAATATGTTATATCTTTATATAATATATTGGATTTATATATATAATATGGAGTGGATTTATATGTCATGCTAATCCAAAAATGCTTGTATTTACATATTCATGACGGGGGGGGGGGGCTTGCTACAGTTCCACTCCCAATGCTCTTTTGAAAAATGTTGCTATTCTGAGGTCAGGAAGCAGAGTGCTCCAGACAGGACAAACTCCCAGGTTAAAATCTGAACTCAAAACAAGGAGCTGGATGACAAAGAACTGTCAAGTCCAGTTCAACTCTAGCACATCCATCTGGTTTTCTTGCCCCTTTTACCAAAGGACTAGGATGAACCCAAAGGAGTTGAACACTAGGTGCTATCTAACAAAATGAAATTCAATTGTGAAAAAAGTAAGGGTCTACATTTAGGCAAGAAAAACCAAATGTACAGGTATAGTACTATAGGGGGTACCTTGCTCAATAGTAGTAACTGTGAGAGGGACCTCGGAGTCCTAATGGACAATCACTTAAATGAGCCAGCAGTGTGCTGCAGCTGCCAAAAAAGCCAGCACAGTGCTAGGCTGCATTAACAGAGGGATAGAATCAAGATCACGTGAAGTATTAATACCACTTTACAATGCCTTGGTAAGGCCACACTTGGAATACTGCATCCAGTTTTGGTCACCATGATTAAAAAAGATGTTGAGACTCTAGAAAGAGTACAGAGAAGAGCAACGAAGATGATTAGGGGACTGGAGGCTAAAACATATAAGGAACGGTTGCTGGAACTGGGTATGTCTAGTTCAGGGCTTTTCAACCTTTTCACTGATTGTACCACTTTTAGGATATGGCAATATTCGAGTACCACCTAGCAAGGTGTCAAAAACTTGATGACAAAAAAAAAACTGTTCAAAGTTGCAATTGCACTGAAATGCCTTATGACCATTTTTCACACTTATGACCATTGCAGCATGCCCAGGATCATGTGATTTATATTTGGATGCTTGGCAACTGATTCATATTTATGATGGTCACAGTGTCCCAGGATCATGTGATCCCCTTTTACAACCTTTTGACAAGCAAAGTCAATGGCAGGGCTACTGGTGACTAAATGCTAAGGCGGGACTTCCCTCCCTCCTTCCTTCCCTGCCTCCCTCTTTCTCATGCCCACCTCCTTCTGAAGGAAGAATTTGAACCCCCCCCCCCATTTTCTCTCTTCCATATATTCATCAAACAAGGAAAAGCCTCCAGAGGCAGAAAATACAAACTGCTGAGTGAACTAGCTTAAAAAGGCACATTCCCTTTTAAGAATTAGCTACTGGCTAGAAAGGAAAGTTAAGGAGTACAGCCGGCATTTAAGGAAGCTGGCTAAGGCAGCCTCCCCAAATGGCTCCATTCATAAGTAAAGGAATGCTACAGGCAAAATCCATTCAGGAGAAAAATACGTCAAAATCCCTTGCAACAAAACTTACAGCTAACAATAGCAGAGCAATAGAAGCTAACAGGAGACATCAGCCATCAGCCAAATAGAAATTGCCAAACACTCCTGAAGAACACAAAGCCCACATTGCACAAATCCCAGAACTTCAAAGTCACAAAAGCACATAAGAATCCTTCCACTCTCCATCTCCATCCGTGCCTCACCTCCAGCCATTGCTGTCTTTTTTTATTCCTCTTGGAGGGAGACTCCTCCCCCACTGCATTTCTTGCCCGTTTGCTGCTGCCAGCACAGATGGCTGCCACAGCAGTTGTAGATCGGCTCATGGCCAGCCTGCTTGATCTCCTCTCCCCCCATCCTCCTCCTCCTCCTCCTTCTTCTCAGTGCAGCTAGAGCTGACTCCACCTCCTCCCAAGGCTGCTGCTTTCCCCCCCCCACTGCTTCCTTTTATAGCCTCTCCTGTCTCCACCCCCCTCCTCCTCCTTTCTCATGAGGGAGGGTGAGCCAGAAGTGAACCTGGGCCCTTTGCCTCACCCCAGCAACTCTGCAGCTCCAGAGGACTCTCTCACAGTAAGTCCTTGCCTGCACTGGCTCTTTCCCTCCCCCACTGCACTTGGCTAGGCAGGGCTGTGTACCACCTGCCACTCGTTAATGTACCACAAGTGGTACGGGTACCACCAGTTGAAAAGCCCTAGTCTAGTTTAATGAAGAGAAAGATGAGGGCAGACATGATAGCAGTGTTCCAATATCTCAGGGGCTGCCATAAAGAAGAGGGAGTCAAGCTATTCTCCAAAGCACCAAAAGGCAGGACAAGAAGCAACGGATGGAAACTAATCAAGGAGAGAAGCAACCTAGAACTAAGGAGAAACATCCTGACAGTTAGAACAATTAACCAGTGGAACAACCTGCCTCCAGAAACGGTGAATGCTCCAACACTGGAAGTTTTTAAGAAGAGACTGGACAGCCATTTGTCTGAAATGGTATAGGGTTTCCTGCCTGAGCAGCGGGTTGGACTAGATGACCTCCAAGGTCCCTTCCAACTTTTTATTATTGTTGTTGTTGTTGTTGTTGTTATCATCAGAGTTGTTATTAAAGCTTAATTGAAATAGTCCTGACAAAGCCCATGCCTAACAGCTCCTATGTCTTGTTTGGGCTCAGTTCAAATCTGCAACCAATCTATCAAGTTTACCTGCTAACTTTGTTTAGTACTACAACCAAGAGCCAGTGCTATCTAGAACTATCTTAGAGTGTCATCTATTAACTTCTTCTATCAAAGATCTCCTTCTTCTTCCTGGAGTTCTGATTGTGAAGACTCCATTATTCTTTGTCACTTCAGCAGCTCCTCTGAGTAAACCCATATTTTCAGGTTTTATTTATATCTTCACTATAACAAAGTGATTATTTGGATCCTGGACTGTCTTTATGTCAGATTCACAGAGAGGTGTGGTTTACTATAACTGAACTTGACCATTGTTTAATCTGATGTCATTTTTCATCTTGTACTTAACAGCCTTTCCTGTCTGCATCACCAAAATTGCCTTAATTAAAGGGCTGTTCCAGTGGAGGCAGCCAGAAAAATAAAAGCACTTATTTGGGGGGCATCAGGAAGAAAAGGCAAAAATAATAGATTATGTTAACTGGTTTGCTTGCTTTCTAGTTCTGTACAGCTAAAGCTGTAGTTTAGTGTAGCCTACATAAAGTTTATGCTATTACAGTAAACATAATACATGTGAAATTATGCTGCCAAAAAGGTTGAACATTTTTGATGATTCCAAATCTATTGTTTATGTAACATGCTTCACAGTTCAATGCTCTCACTCTTCATGTTTATCATCTACATGAGGCCACTGGGTAAGGTCATCTGTTGGAATCCAGAATAACAATAACAGAGTTGGAAGGGACTTTGAAGGTCTTCTAGTCCAACCCCCTGCTCAAGTGGGAAACCGTACAATATACCATTCCAGACAAAAGGTTCTTAATCTTTTAAAATCTCTTCTTAAAAACCTCCAGTGTTGGAGCACCCACAACTTCTGACGGCAAGTTGTTCCTCATTCTGTCAGGAAATTTCTCCTTAACTCTAGGTTGCTTCTCTCCTTGATTAGTTTCCATCCATTGCTTCTTGTCCTGCCTTCAGGTGCTTTGGAGAATCCATCAATCCCCTCTTCTTTATGACAGCCCTTTGAATATTGGAACATTGCTATCATGTCATCCCTTTTTTCTTCTTTTCATTCAACTAGGTATACCCAATTCCTGCAACCATTCTTCATATGTTTTAGCCTCCGGTCCCCTAGTCATCTTTGTTGCTCTTGTCTGCACTCTTTCCAGAATGACATCATCAATATCCAGTATCATTAGCATACCTAACTATAAATCTAACCCCAGTGCCAGCCAGGAAATTCTATCAAGGTTTTACCCCAATGCATGGAGGGTTGTGGGTTTGGATGGGGAGGAACATTTAAGCTCAAGTCTGATTGGCTGTGGATGTTTGGACCTCCTGTATCTGGAGTGGTTCCATTTTTAGTCCTAAATGGGACTGCACTTCCCTTTTCAGGACTGGTGTGCAATTTCGGGGGGGGGTGTATCTCTTACTCACAGACCCTGCTCAAGCAGCAGATAGGAGCTCTACCTTTGATGGCTTTTACACAAATTCATGCAATACACCAATTGTTCCCATACCAAAACTGTCACAACTCATAAGTTAGTCATCTTGTGGTTGGACTGTTGCAACCCACTTTATATGGGATATCTTTGAAGACTACTAGGAAGCTGTAGCAAATCCAGATTGCAGAGGCACAATTACAACCAAGCCTCAACCTGCCCATGTAACACCTCTGCTCTGTGCTTTGCACCTGTTGGCAGTAGACGTGTAGAAGCAATTCTGGTTATATGCAGCTTAAATAATGGTTACCATGTATAAAGCCTACCATGGCATACGGACTGGTTAATCTGATGCTAGACGTAGCCAAAAGATAGCATACAAATATTGCTAGACTCTATTAAAATTAAGCTTTTTTTCAGGAACATTCCTCGGGCAGTCATCGTTTCCTTAACTGTTGTTACAGTCAGCTACATCCTTACTAATGTATCTTACTATGCTGTCTTGACACCGCAAGAAATTCTCAGTTCAGATGCAGTAGCTGTGGTGAGTATACTTTGCTCATTATTTGCAATTCTTTAAGTGCTGTTAGTAAAATCAGGAGTAAGAAGACTTATTGGAAAAAAATCAGGTTTAATATAAAAAATAACAAATTGAATGCCCAAAGTAGACACCTGTTTCATGGACCGTGAAACAAGCACATAAAGGATTCAGTAAAAACTGCGTTGTGTGCCTAAAAATAATAAAAATCAAATATATTAGTGAATATATTGGTTCTTGTGGAATCAAATTCAGGACCCAAAACAACAACAACAAAAAATCAAAACTCACTGCAGTGTTTATTAGACGGTACATCCTGGAGGGCTTTTCTCCAAATTGTGGAAGACACATTCAGCAGACAAAGAAATACACTCATAAGGAGGGGAAAGGAGGGGAAAATGATATAAGCATATGCATGCATAAGTAATACATATTCATAACTAATAATGAATAGATTTAAAGCTACTTTCTGCCCTCCTGCAGTTTACAGAGAACAATAGTCTGAGTGAAAAAATTTGCATCCTGAGGTTCAGGGGTTCTAATGGGAATGTTTTTATAAAAACTTACAATAGACTGCTGTGAGCTAGAAGTTGCAAGGTCACATTCTTTATGTCTCAGTTTGTCTATTATATAGTCCATTCATCTGAAAATTGATTTCCCCTATACTATTCAAAGTAAAGTAATAATACAGCTATTTCTTTAGTTGTCAAAATGATGGACATGCATATCTTTGATATTTTAACTGTAAGCCTTTGAAAATGTCTTAAATTTCTATCACTTTACTACTCTGCAAAACATCTAGATATTGCTCCAAAACAAAAGTACAGGTATTCTGTAAGAAATACTATAAGGCTCCATTAAATGAACAATTAACAGCAAACTCATCAAGCAGGTAAAATTCTTTAAATATCTAGGTCTCTATTTTCAATGTTCTCTTGCTGATCTACTCAAACAACAGAACTTCTAGTAAAAGTCTCCAAAGTGTCTCTTGTGATTAAAATATGCAGGTCAATTTGGCAACAATTATCTCTTAGCAGCTATTAAACTATTTAAAGCTAAAGTTCTGGTTTTGATACTATATGGTATTCAGTTGTATATTTATAAGGAAGCTTCTAATTTAGAAGCAATCCAATCAAAATTCTTGAAAAGCTTACAAGTTTATTCCATTTCCCATCCCCTGACACAATTAGAATTAGGCTGCATTTCCCTTGGAGCTTGATTAAGATTTTTTTCTTAAATTTTGGTTGAAGCAAATCTACTGGGGAACTTCCTTAGTTTATTTCATCTTGCTTGATAAATTCTCTTAAAATATAAAACGGCAAATTAATGACAATTTGGCATGTTGTGGTCTTAATTTGTCTATAGACTTGCTTTGGAACTTGATAAAATCTGGCTGAATTAAAATAGAGCAATTGGGATCTAGACATCCAAAATGCCAGAGCCAAAGTCTCCATCCCTTTCATAGCATAAATATTCCTCCTCTCCAGTCTATCCATACATATTTCTATCACATCTTATAGTAATATCAAGATAGTTCCTTTTAGGGCAACAACTGGTAGATATATAAATGTCCCATATGAAAGTTGAATTTGTTTCTGTTCAGACTCAGACATATCCATTGTCGACCCAAAGGTAATCATGTTAATACTTCCAATTGTTAATGACTCTTAATTGCCCATTGTAACCAGAAGGCACTTATCCTTCTGGTTGACCACTCTTCAGAAATCTCTAAGGCCCTGCAAAATTCTTGTCAATATATATAGCTATTTAAAACTTCCCTCATGCTATCAATTGTTAGGTGCTAACTGCTTTAGGATTTTCTTGCAATTTTAAATTTTACTTTTACAATTATTGTAGTGTTCTGGTCTTTTGATTGTATTTGATCTTGGACCATAAATAATTTTCAACCAATGGATACTTCATTTATGATTTGTTATTGTTTTCCATTTTATTGAATTAATTACATGATTATTATGTGAATAACTGTAAACTAGACCTTAGTTACTAAAACTGAGGCAGTGGATAAATTATACCATTTTTTAAAAAAATATATCAATAAAATAAATAAAAATACATTCGGAGAGGTCCATTAACAGATTTTTTTATAAAAGTTAATAAAATGAACATTATATTTGTCTTGCCTTTTATTATTGTGCTCGTTCTCTTGAAAGATACCTACAGAAAAAAAATATGTAAAATAAAAGAGTGATAATTTCTTCTTTTAAATGATATACAAATATGTAAAAGGAAGGGAAAAATAAAGATTCCTTAATTTTTTCCTAGAGTTTCACTGATAAAGTTTTCAAGAACATTTCCTCTGCAATTCTAATCCTTGTAGCTCTCTCATGTTTTGGTGCTTTAAATGGAGGAATCTTTGCTGCATCCAGGTAAAGTCCTGAAAGCATTTTGAGTAAATTGGATTCTGACTCTGTTTCCTGATCTATCAAGATAATAAAAAGATATAAAAATAAATAAATAAAAAGTGTCACTGATATATACAAGAGGTATAACATTAAATATACATTTTTGTTCCTTTTTTTCAAATAGGGAAACTTCTAAATCCTAATAAATTATAGGAAAAACAAGCAAACACAATAAATCCTTAATATAAATAAAACACTTGTGTATATATCTATATTCTTTAAAGAGATGAGATGGCTATAAAAAAGAACAATATGAATTATGTAAAGTTCTGATACAGTTTAAAGAAAAAAAATGATTTAGCATTAAACACATTATAGTTCTTGTACTATAAGTTTTTAAAAACGCAGTAAACAGATACATAACATAAGTTTACACGTGCCACAAGCCAGAGATGGTTCCAACAATATATGATTTTCTGGGGGAAAAAACAATTTTAAAAAAACCCACTAATATTGCAATGGGCATTTTAACAATCTTGCATTATTCTAACTTTCAAGAAGCAAAATATAATTCAATCATTAGACTTATGTAGGATACTATGGAGTTTTTTAAACCATGGTGTGATGAACAAGTAATATTAGTACATAACTAAGACCATAATAAGCTATGGTTTAAAAACGACCAAATTAATTTTCGTGACTTCACTGTAACCAATACTACAAAACATTGGCTCTACTTAAACGCTATCTTTATTATGCAGGATGTTGTTTGCAGCTGCACGAGAAGGACAGTGGCCAGTTCTCTTTTCAATGATACACCTGGAAAGACACACTCCTGTCCCAGCTTTAATATTAATGGTATGAGCTTAAATTTCGGAATTCTATTTCCCTGTTCTTAAATGAAGGAATTAAGAATTTGAGAATGAAGTCTACATGTAATTCTTTTTTTTTTATAAGAATCCTGTTATAATCACAGATGTTTCATTTTTCTAAAAAATTCCCAAGAAAAAAGCTCTTCGGCTAAAATTTGGTACAGGTTCTTATAACTGATATTCCCATCACTTAGATAATTCAATTTAGAATTTGTGCTTAGCAAGTAATCCAAACTATATTGGTTTCTCTGACCTGACCTATAATCAGGTCTAAATATCTGTATTGAAAGAAAATTGTTGCTACTGTTCACTTTTATTGAATAAAAGGAACAAAAAGAAATATTTATATGTTCTGTTGGCTTTCTTTCTTGACCCAGTTACCTTTGGTCTACTTGATGGTATCCATTGGTGACCTTTATGGACTTTTGAACTTCTACAGCTTCTCCCGCTGGTTCTTCCTAGGACTTACCACACTGGGGTACATGATACATTGCTTCCAACATCCAACAATAGTGAGACCTTTTAAGGTAGGATCAATATCAAATTAGAAACCAGAATATTGCTTCTACTTTTCTGGAAGAAAAACATTGACACAGGAACATAGGAAGATACGGGGGGGGGAGAATAAAACACTGATTCGGTTAAGACATAATGCAAACAAATTGTTTTTTGTCCAATACTATTTCTAGTAAATCAGTGTTGTATCTTTATTCATGTCCATCCACATTCATTCATAATTATTTATTCTCTCCTTTCTTTCTGGAGTGAAGTACAGAAGGAAAGATCCCTAAATCTTGACTGTGGTTTGCTAATGAAATATTTAAAACATTTAATCAGGATTAAATATAACAGTCATAATTACAAACAGTGTAATTGTGCATTGTCAACAGAAACATCAATTTATGTTCTCATTTCAATTCCCATGTTCTCTGGAAATCAAACCAAAAGTAAACCAAGGATTCATAAAACCACACAAAAAAGAAAATCCTGCATGGCACATGAATAATTTATTGGCCCTTTGATTGGCAAGATTATATAAATATATTTTGATTGTTCTTCCATGTGTTATAAACATTATAGTTGCTTGTGTGTTCTTCCATGTGTTGTAAACATTATAGTTGCTTGCATGTTTAAAGATGGCCTGTTGATTACCTTCTGACTCGTTCCTTTAGGTGCCTCTGTTCTTCCCACTGGTATTCACAGTAGCCTGTTTCTTCATTGTGGGGACATCGCTATATTCAGATCCTGTAAACACCAGTATTGGATGCGCTTTAACTTTATCTGGCTTACCCGTCTACTATCTGGTGGTTCAGAAAACTAGAATACCAGGCTGCTGTACATCAAAGTTCAGTAAGTATAGCCAGGAGTACTACTATACTGGGGAGGTACCAGGTCACATGCTCACTACTCTGGCTACTTCATTGTCTAGCTTTTACCTCCCTACTCCGTACAATTCTGTCCATGTGCTTCTTTGCACTGACTTCACCACTTCTTGGGCAGTATAGGGAAAGAAACATAGGATCAGATTACTTATAGAACAGGCTTCACCCTATCTCATCAGCCAGCCTCAATCAACCAGGCTACAGACCCCATCAGTCAAATACTGGGGGGTCTAGGAAGAGAGCCTTCTCTGCCACCGCCCCCACATTGTGGAACCTCCTGCCCTCAGAGGTGAAGAAAGCCCCCAATCTCTTGGCCTTCCACAAAGGGTCGAATCTTGGTTCTGAATCCTTGTGGGGGGGTCACAGAGGACCATTCAACTGTGTGGCTGACTAGTCCCATGAGAGCCCCTCCTTGTAATAACCAATGTTAAATCTTAGGATTTTTATCTTTTGATGTTTATCATTAATATATAATTTAAATTTTTTAAATCCTAATTAAATTGTAATGTTAATTTTTATACATTGTTTTATCAATTATATTCATTTTAACAGAGCATAGAGCCCCACTTTAAGGGAAATGGGCATTTTAAATATGTATTATAAATAAATAAACATATAGAACAGCAAAAGACATCAGAAATAGATATGCTAACGCTATACTGCTTAACATATTTTAAAAACTTTTGGGAAATGGGAACCTCTTTGCCCCCTTCTCAGACCTTTTACTGAATGTTTATCTTATTTGCCCACTAGTAGCAAAATGAGCAATAGATGTAGCAATAACCCACACACCCCAGGATAGACCAGATAACCTGTAAAGCCAAGCAAAGTTTCACTAGTCTTCATAAGCTAAGATTGTGTAGACCAGGGTGGGGAATGATGGCCCCTTTATGACTTGTGGTACTGAAATTCAAATAAGCCATAAGCAGCTAACTGCATTAAAATGTAATTGCAAAAAGACAGTATCAAGCAAAATAGGAATGTATTCACAGGGAAATATATGGTTCAAGATAGCTATAGCTCATAAAAACATATGTCTTTTAATAAAATGTGCTAGCATGAGAAGATTCCACCAAGCCAATATTTGAAGCAATCTAATTATTTTTTTTAAATAAAGAACATCAGATGATAGCTCTCTCAAAGACATTTTTTTATTGTTTCCTCTTTGGAACTATTTAGACTCCATGATAATGAAGCTACAGATCCTGATGAAGGTGACTCCTCAGGAAGTCCAGATGTATTGAAGGAGCTGTGTATTGGAGTAAGGAAAACAATATTTAGACTGCAAGGAACCTGCAAACTCTTGACACTACTACTGTAAGGAATATACCTCCAAGCCATTTTAAAGCAAGCAGCAAGAGATACAATATGTGAGAATCCCTTTCCATGAGTTACCTCATGTTTCATTTTGTCTTTCAAAGGTATAAGACTGATCTTCTTTTGCCCAGAAGCTTGAACAAGCAGTTTATAAGGAATAAAAATAAATCAAAACTCTTTATGAAAAACCCATCAGCAATATCTGCAGAACCTTAAGCAAGTCTTAGTTCTGTATACAGTATATAGTAAACATAAGATTCTTGTCCAATACAGCACTTCCTTCTTATGACAACAATAAGGAATCTATTGTCATAGGAAATGTGGGTCTTGCTCGCCCTAAAAATGTTCAAGCTTGCACAAAAGTATAGTAATAATTAGTTAAAAAATGAAAATTCAGTTCACAAAATAGAGGTTGAAAATGTTTTAAGGTTAAAATTTCCACATCCAAAATATTCCAACTTCAAAACTATTCCCAACCTTATCAGAAATGGTCTGCCATTGGAACTGCTCTGACTCTACTAAAAAAGAAGAAAAAAACACAGTATAAGCTGTTCTGCCTTCCATTTTCAAAGCCAGAACATTTTGTTAAGATTGGAATACTTCTGGTGAGACTGATGTTTCTAAAATCTGACAATTTAAATCTTGAAATGATCTGCACACTGCTAATACGAAGACATATCCCAAGTAAATATTCTACACATACGGTATGGCCCTAAAGATTTAGGACAAGTGTTGCAATGATTTGTATTTGTAAGTAATTTTTATAATGGAGGTAATCAGATTTTTTAATTCCTTGACAATAATAAATTATGAATAACTATCTGTCCATTCTACTGTAAATAATTGCTTATAAGCCTTAAAGCAGGGGTGCCAAGGTGGCGGCCCAAGGGCCAGTTGCATCACACACAGGCCATGCCCACCCCAGCTCCGCAAAGGCAAAAAAAGTCACAATACGTCATGTGACGCAATTGAGTTTGACACCCATGCCTTAAAGAGAGCTGAAGCACTCACCAAACTCATGTTTTTTTAAAAAAACAAAGCAAACAAGATGCTTGTATGTAAAATCTGTATCTTAAGAAATATGGTTGGGAGTATGCTATCATGGTCTAACAAAAAGAGAAACTGCACAACTTTTAGCACACTAGAGCATATAGTCATATTACTAGTTATGTATGGGAGTTCACTAAAATCTAAACTTTCACCTTTTTGCTAATAAATGCTTGGAGGCCTAAATAGCCATCTCCCACAGTATGAACAGTAACTGAATTTAACAAGCTGAGAAAAGAAAACACAGTTTTAGAATTTTTATTGATACAATTGTTCAATATTTTGCCACATTTGTGGCAAATCAGCTTTCTGATGTTACGACTTGCAAGCCCTCCTTCTTATATATTCAAGCAAATTATTGATAGTTTATGTGCTAATGAATTAAGCTAATGATGGTGAAGCTACTTATCCACTATTTTTGAAATAATTAAAACTACTTCTATTATTTGGGGGATATAATCTGATTTCAAGGCTTGCTCAAAATGAGAAATGGTAAAATCACCAAAACAAAAGTTGCAGAAATAGAAGAGATGGAATTAAGCAATACTTAAGAAAATCTGCACCATATTTTATCTTTATCTGAGTAAGCAAACAAAAAGAAATTAAACACTGGAATGCAACGATCAGAAACATAAGTAATACAGATTTTAATTTCCATATTATAAAGTACAGAAAGTGAAATCTATGGTCAAATACAAATTTAAACAAGCCACTTGTCCTTCCAAACAGTAAATCAGTAAGCTACCTATAGAAACAAATTTTAAAGTAAAATTGAAACAAAATAAATACTGTACATACACTTTCCCTGCCAGCAGGCAAAAATGGAATGGGAAACTTGAGTAAATGGGGAGGGGGGGGGGAGCTCTTAAAGCTGTAGCCTCCCATTTTCCAACCAAAAACTCCACATAGGAGTGTGTTTGTATAAAAAGGAGCAAAGAACACACAAATCTCTATTCAGAAAGACAACTATTTCACCACACTGAAAAAATTGAGAATTTAGATTGACAGTAGAAAAAGGTGTTGGGAAACAGACACATCAGCAAAACACTACTACAAAACTAGCAAATATAGCCAAGACTTATCCCCTTTTTGCAAATGTAATGAATATCTTAAAAATGCCAAAGCACTGGCAAAGTTAAACTTTTCCCAGCAGAAGTGATAATTCATATTAATATAATCTCTTAAAGTGAATTATTTCATTCCCTTCTTACAGCAAGAAACTATTATGGCTTAAAATTTATATTCAAAGTTTTCTTCCAGGCAAAAATGCAGCTTTATCAGCAGCTGCATTTTGTAATCAGTGCTAATCTTATTACCATCCTGCTCTGCACAATACAGTCATTTTATTGTATACAGAACGTTGCTCTTTTGGGAAAAAAGTGGAGTTGCAGCTCTTAATCCAGTTTAAATTACAAAGTGTAAGGCCTTTAAATTCAATTTATATTTCTTTCACAAAATAAAATTGCCCTGGGTTTACCTGCTTAAGTTAATGAACAGATTTTTATGGTCTGGAAGGATGAATGCATGTTAGTATAAAAAAGTGAAAGGGGAGAGGTGTTAGTGGTGTTTCTGTTTATTTATTGCAGCACAGAAATTGTGATCAAAGAGGCACTATGCAAGGAACTGTGTAGAAAGTAATGCCTCTCAATTTCCTTCCAGTTACCAGCTATAAAGTTGGAAAAATCTGGAAGAAAGACTGGAGTTGCTTTCCATCCTAATATTCCTAAGTTTAATAATGGACATTCTGATAAATCAAAGTAATCTGAAGTATATAAAAAACTTCAGTAAAATAATGTATCTTTAATTTGATTATGACATATGTGTTGCACTGAAGAACATTAATGTAAGTATTTTAACTTTGTATTATTCAATCCTATCAAAATTATTTGAAAAATCATACAACAAATACAATGATTGCATAGGTAAATCTACCACAGAGATCATTTGAGGCTACAGCCTGAACTGAGGCAGCCTGAATTCAGTAAGCAAAGATTATGGAATAATGAGAAATGTGATTTAAAATGCTGCTGCTAAAGTTACTGCTCTGAAATTCTGTTTTCCTTCCGTCTTCAACATAATCCAAAACACTTTATTTCACCCTATTGGTTTAGGGAGGAAGAGGTCTAAAGTAATTCTAGCATACAGCTGAAATACTGGGTCTAGTTATATAAAAGAATCTTTCTCTGAATACAGATTCTACTGAGGATAGAGTAACTTTTTCCAAATTTGGCTTAAATATCCTTTTTTAGCTCTCAAGAAAATAAAACAATTAGTGGGCTATATAATTAAATTCAGATATCTGCTACAAATGTAACATCTGGTGCAATACAGTAATGATTTGTATAAATGAAGCAACTAGCATACAAACAAGACTGCCCACTTTAACTTCTTCATTATATTACTAAAATAATTTCTTTATTTGTTTCTTCAAAACCATTAATTTTGATAGATATATTTGCCTTCCTCAATACATTTAAAGTCTAAGAAATAGCCTCACTGAAGTGGTAACAGAAGATTTGCTTCAAATTGTGTTTAAAACATGGAAAGCCAGAATTTTATAATCAGCATTTTTATTTTAGTAATCTAAGAAGATATATTTCTATGCTGATAACAACGAAGAACAATTTGATGGGGATAGGCATCTGTAAATAGAATGAGAAAAATGGAACAGCTATTAAAATATAATGTTTCCAAAACCTACTCCTTCTTCTCCACTACTACCTCTCTTCTGCAGGTATGCATTTTAATGATTATGGTTCTCAGAGAAATCAGACCAGTTGTGACACTTATCAGTTATTCTGATCAATAAAGAATATATAATTTTAATGTATTTATCATTCAGTTAATTGTAGCCTCTATGTTTTTTGCATTATAGATGATGCTAGGATATCACAAGAAATAAACTCTTAAAAAATATGGCTTATGAAAATTAGAACTAAATCAAAACCAGGTTCTTTCTAACCGTTTTTCTGCCTAAAAGAAAAGACGGAATAATTTTAAAATACATTGAAAATACACAGTACAAGTACTTATTTTAATGTACCATAACCCAGTTAGAATATATGACTCTTGAAACTGATAAGTAAATCTCTTCTTTTTCAAAAAAAACGATGTTGAGTTTTCACCCTGTAATCAATTCTCTTAGCGATGCCAGCAGTGAGGAGGTTCTTCCAGTCTTGTTTTTTTTCTACATTTGACATTTGTATGCTAAGAAAACTGAAGAAGGAAGGAAGGTCAAGAAAAACAGACTTATTTTCAAAACCTCAGATATATCACAGGTTGACATCCGTTTGATTTTTGTTCCTTTATTCCTCAGTTTCATTCAACATATTCTTAAATCTTTTCTATTTATTGCAACAGAGCCTACTTCCTAATGAAAGGTGAAATCTATTATCACACAAATGCAGTGCACTCATGCAATTGAACTTTCTTCACCAGTCCTTCTGTAATTTTCTGATCTGTTTTAGAAATTACCTCAGCCCTCCCAAAATGTTTTGAAAGGGACTTGCTGCATGTGGGATAGAGAATCAGCCTACTTTTCCTTAATGAATACTAGCTTAAATTTTTGGCTATCACTCCCTCACAATTATAGAAACAATCTATTCATTTAAATGGGACAGTGGCAACCTCACTGAGGACTACAACCTTGAAATTTAAGCTAAGTCCTAGTACCAGCAGTGACTAGTTTGATATGCAACAAAAACATAATTAGTTTAATTCAAATATGTTGCACACAAATGCAGAAAATACTGAATATAAAACAGAAAGGTCCTGTTTTGGGACATCTACATATGTTATTTTAGATAGAACCTAAAGGCTGGGAAGTTTATTTAAGAAAGTCAAGCAGCTGAGTAGCTTTGGCCATGCTTTAACCCTTGATCAATAAGAAAACCAAACTACTAAAGCAGTATCCCTAATATTCCTGCTCTGGTACTGAATAGCCCTCTTAGTAAAGCGGTAATCAGATGCTTTCCCATTTTTCCCCGAAAGAGCTTAAATATTCAGCTTTATCTTACAAAAATATGATTTTTCATCTAGGTTATATACATGCATTTTAGAATCAGCATTTACTACCAGATCTTTGCCAAGCATGACATAAAATACGTCATACTGAAATTCAAAAGCTATCAAACATATTTACATATTTACAAAAATGACTTAAGACCTTTAATCAGCTGGCATGTGTAGACAATCAAAACAATACTCTGCCACTATAACAGTCTTTCTCCACAAAATGTATTTATATGTCTATACTTAAATCAATACCTGTAGTCCTACATGGGTGATTGCTATGCATTATTCTCCAGACCATGGAAATAAAATAAGGAGAAGGCTAAAGCAAATGCTGCTCACATTATGCTAATAAATGGTGAAAATGAAGAGGAAATGGAAGTAATGAAGGAAGACATTTCAATGAACTAAACTACCAGAGAATCTGTACTTTAGGAGTCAGTAAAAAAAGCCATCCATGGTGTTGTATAGAAGAACAGAATCTAAGATGTGTTTTCATATCCTTAACTTAATAAATCATATAATATATCACGTCCATGTTTTAAATCTATTATCTCTATATCAAATGCTTGAATTCAGAACAAACAACGCAGCTCTTTCCACTTGCAGACAGACATTAAAGACAAATAAAACCTTCACATTTTGACAGTTTAAAATTAAAATAATTCCCCCAAAAGGTTTCCAAATAAATAGCTTAAACATGAATTCAATCCTTGACAATATCTGACAAATAAATTATTGATTACCACTTTCATCACACTCTGTTCATGAATTAGCTCAGACACTACCAAAAGCATCAAAATGAGCCCTGAAAAACAGACCATTTTTCCAATTCATAGTCTTTTCAAATATTTTCATTTCCCAAAAGTTATTGCTCAGCAGATGTGGCACAGTGAAAATGCAGCATTGGGTTTTTGTTCATCAGGCAGTGTTCAAATAAGAGGCATGCATTCTGCTTCAAGCAGAGGAATAAAACAGAAGCTCCAGGCACTGTTACCCTCAATACTGGTCTATGAATGAAGAAAAGCAGAAGCAGCCATTACATCAAACTAAGTATCGTACATGGCCATTTCGGTTCAGTTTTAGAATTTTCCCAAGCCGTTGTTTGGCAGTTGCCATTCCTTTCTTTGGACGCTTGCCTGAAAGAGGAAAGAAACACATATATTTATCAACATTATATTATAGTCCTTACATATAATTTCAAAACTCAAGAAAATAGTCTTGTGGAATCATAAGAGTTTAAAGATAGAGATCACCTAGTCAACCTTGCTCTATCCACAATAGTATCTCTAATAGATGAGCATCCAGACTGTTTGAAGAGCTCTAGAAAAAAAGAACTCACATCTTTATATTTATATAGCAGACTGTTCCACTGGCTGACAGCTCATACCACTAGGAGTTTCTTCATGTTAACCCATTGGTTCTGGACCTCCCTGTTCTGTGTGAAAACTATTCATACCTAAAGACTGCTATTGTATCTCCCATCATCTTTTTGTATCCAAGACATTTAATTATTCCTCATAAGGCCTTTCCAGATCCCTCACAACCTCTGATAAAGATGACAGTCTGTGTCATTTCTGTACATTTATTCTGCTTTACTTTCAACATGTACCAAAACTGTTTCTTGGATCCTATGGTGTTTTATACTGTTGTTCCAATCTGTCACTGTCCTTTTTGTACTCTAGTGCCACGACCTGGACCCATACACCAATGGGATCTGACCAAACCAGAGTAGAGTGAGGCAATTCCCTCCAATGATCTTGATTCTATGCTCCTGTCCCACAAAAGAGCATTTACCTTTTTAGGAGCTGCTTTACATTGGTGTGGATCTTTTTGTCTAGATTTCTCTCTTTCATCTAAGCATTTGAATGCTTTATAAGTGTTTCCCTCAACTCCCTCATCCAGTAACTACTAAAAATGCACAATATAAAAACACCATAGAATCCAAGAAAGGCTTGAAATTAAAGGAAAATAAATGAACAGAGATGACACAGACATCTAGTTCAGGGCTTTTCAACCTTTTCACCGATTGTACCACTTTTACAATATGGCAACATTCGAGTACCACCAGTCACCAAACAAGGTTTCAAAAGCTTGATGACAAAAAAAAAAAATGGAAAAAAGTGATAAAGTACAGGTAGTCCTCAACTTACAACAGTTTGCTTGGTGACTGTTCAAAGTTACAACAGCACTGGAAAAAGTGACTTATGACCATTTTTCATACTTATGACCATTGCAGCATCCCCACGGTCATGTAATTTACATTCGGATGCTTGGCAACCGATTCTTATTTATGATGGTCACATTGTTCCAGGATCACGTGATCACCTTTTGCAACCTTGTGACAAGCAAAGTTAGTGGGGAAACCAGATTCACTGAACAACCATGTTACTAATTTAATCTCTCTCCTTTCTTTCTCTCTCTCCCTCTTTCTTTCTCTCCCCCTTTCTTTCTCCCTCCCTGTCTCTTTCTCTCTCCCTTTCTCTTTCCCTCTCTCCCTTTCTTTCTCCCTCCATCTCTTTCTCTCTCCCTTTCTCTCCGTCTCCCTTTCTTTTTCTCTCTCCCTGTCTCCCTTTCTCTCTCCCTTTCTCTCCCTCTCCCATCTTCTTTCTCTCTCTCCCTGTCTCCCTTTCTCTTTCCCTTTCTCCCTCTCCTTTTTCTCTCTCCCTCCTTCTTTCTCTCTCTCCCTGTCTCCCTTTCTCTCTCCCTTTCTCCCTCTCCTCTTTCTCTCTCTCCCTCTCTCTTTCTCTCTCTCCCTCTTTCTATTTCTCTTTCCCTCCTTCTCTCCCTCTCTCTATTTCTCTCTCCCTCTCAAAGATCCTTAAAATCCCTAAAGTTATGCTTGGGCGGAAGACTTTTTCTTTTACAGATTTCTTTTACAGATGGGGTGGGTGGGCCCATGGTTGGCCCGACATTCATGGGCAGGCAGGACCCCGCCCGCCGAGCCGCCGCCTCCCCGTCACCCTCCATGCCAGCCGGCTCCATCGCCAGACCTCCCAGCTGATGGGCCCAAGTCCAGGGGTTGGCAGCTGACGGGCACATAGTTCAGCGCTGCGGCGGCCTCCCGTTCGCCCTCCGCAACGGCCAAAGCGTTGCCTGACGTTCCAGCTGATGGGCGCAGGTCTGGGGGTCGCCAGCTGACGGGCTCAGGAGGTAGGCGCCACGGCGGCCTCACAGCCGCCTGCTTCTTCGGCTGGAGCAGTTGCCAGGGCTTGCATGGTCGCTGGCAGCGGGGAGCGCGTCAGCGGTCCTTGGGGACCATTTAAGCTCTGGCAACTGCTCCAGCTGAAGACGCAGGCAGCTGGGAGGCTCCCGCAGCACCTACCTCCTGCCCCCGTCAGCTGGCGGCCCCCGGACCTGCGCCCGTCAGCTGCAACGTCAGGCAATGCTTTGGCCAGTGCGGTGGGCAAAGGGGAGGCCGTCGCAGTGCCGAACTCCTGCGTTTGTCAGCTGGGAGGTCTGGCAACATAGCCGGCTGGTATGGAGGTCGATGGGAAGGCGGCGGCTCAGCAGGCGGGGTCCTACCTGCCCGTGAATGTCACGCCCACCTGCCCCATCTGTTAAAGAAAAAGTCTTCCGCCCAAGCATAACGCCAGCAGTTCTGTGCCACGGAGGCTTGAGACATGGAGGCGCGGAACGTGGAGCGGCGCGGTGTTGTGGGAGGCAGCAGGACAGGGGGAGGGGTTACCTGCATCCTGCCAGCCGAATTCTGGAAGCCTGCCTGAATGAAGAATTTTAGGGGGTGTTGAAAGCGAGACAGACTTAGGGCTGTATTAAGACCATAGATGGCTGTGTAAGGAGAGTGGAAGGGAGGCGAATTCGGGGTGGAGCAGAAAACACGGGGGGAAGGCATTAGGAAATGAGTACCAAGGTACATGGTGCCTTGCAAGGGATTCCCGAGTGTTCTGCAATTGTTTTTCCTCTCTCCTCTGTGCGAGGAAAACTTTTGCGATGTAAATCTGAAACCAGGTGTTCTTGTGAGGTGGCGCAGGAGGTTCTTGGGAGAGGCGAGGACAAGCTTGGCGTTTCCTCTCTCCCAGTCCCCTTCCTCTTCTTCACCCTCTGCCCTGGCCTGCCTGCGATCTGAGATTGCAGCTCTGTGGCTTTTCTTTGCCTAGCCAAGCTTTCTTCCGCCTGCCCCATTCCCGGGAGCGCCGAGGAGGTACGGCACAAAAACATGAATTGGGATTGTGGCGCCCTTGAGAAGCTGATCATGCTTTGAACCTTAGGAGAGGAGTCTTTTCCTCTTTCCCTCCCTCTCTCCCTGTCAAGCCCCGGCAGGCTCGACATGAACAGGCTGGGGGAGGGGTCAAGGACGACGTGCGGGGTGGCAAAGGAGACCGGTGGCTGGCGCCAGGGCCAGACCTCCCAGCTAACAAGCGCAAGTTCGGGGGGTCGCCAGCTGACAGACGCAGGAGTTTGGCGCTGCCGCAGCTTCCCCTTTGCTGATCTAAGCACACGAGAAGTCAAACCAGTTGCTGCACAATGAGTCCCTAGGGAGGATGGGGTCTTTCTCACCACCTGCGCTCTTCACGCGCCTCCTGCAGGGCACATTAGGTAAAGTTCGTGCAGGCTGCCGCCAAGCAACATATTTCCACAAACAAGTGAGGTGGGAAGGAGCGGAGCGGGGGGGGGAGGAAGGCAACATTGCAGGGGGGGAGGAAGGCGATGCCGCGTACCATCAGCCAGGTGGTCACGTACCACAAGTGGTACGCGTACCACCGGTTGACAAGCCTGATCTAGTTGCATTCAGTCCTCACATCATATAGCAAAGCTACCAAATATTCCTATAGAAGTACTGGCCAGCTGTTTATTAAATTGATTTATTTATAAGCCCAGCGCATGGAAATTTGCAGTGACTGTATTACAAGTAGTAAAATGATAAAATATATCATTCTGTTTTTATTGGTTATTCTTGTGAACTATCTAGGATCACTGTGTATAGGACACAATCTAAGTGTTATAAATAAATAAAACATTTAAAACATAATAAATCAACAAATGATCAATATATTCATATGCAGCATATAAAGTGAAATAATATCAAAAAAGTCTGCATATCATAATTAAAATAGCCAATATAGTTTTTAAACTTCTAAAAAACTTGGTTGAAGGAGCAATAAGAAGGGTGGGTGGGTGGGTGGGTGGGTGGGTGGAAGGAAGGAAGGAAGGAAGGAAGGAAGGAAGGAAGGAAGGAAGGAAGGAAGGGACTAAGCATGGTTGTCAGAGAGGTTCTGTTCTGTTGGGGAGCATGGCCAAAATCGTCATGGAAGCTGGGAGGTAGCAGTCATTCAGCAGGCCAACTTGAGCCCTTCAGATTACTGACCTCACCCAGGCTGCTTCTAATGAACCAAAATGTTTTCATAAGAGGTTATATTATGTTTTATAATGGAAAATAAATACCACTTTTCAGCTTCTGAAAAGAGGCTCTATTCTGAAGACAGTAAATTATCTCAGAACTTGGACAAAGAGGATGTACAGATAAAGCCTAGGGCTAAGAATTTATTTTTAATTTATTTAGGAAATTTTCATTCAGTCAGATCTGAACTGATGGTTTTCCAACTTGTTCATTATGCCAGTGTTTACATCTATAGAGAAATTTGTAATGTGATAACTTTGAAGTTTGACATTGATAAAAACTTTGTGTGAAATAATCCCGAGTGAAAAAAACTGAAGTTAAAAATTTCAAATCACATTTGAATGGACAGAATTGTTTACAGGGATGCACACTGAATCCATTTTCTGAATATTCACATTTTAAGATAAGCATGTGGTACAAATGGCAACAGCAAGTAAATTGGTTGCCAAAAAAGAAAAAGAACACAGATGATTACATTACCTTTTGTTGCCTGGTTGCTGATGGGGGGTGGATTTGATGCTGGCCGCTTGGTTGGATGAAGAGGTAAAGTGGATGCTTCACCAAATGGTCGGTCGGAGCTGAGACTGCTATCACTTAATCTGCACTCCTCATCAATTAAGTTGCAGTCCCGCATATATTTGCTATGCTGAAAGTTTATTCCATTATTTTGCACATGGTTTCTGTTTTCTTGAATTCTGTAACAGGTTTCAGATGCAACTTCTTTCTTAACATGTTTCTGAGTTTTGCCTGTCTCCTATAGATGGAGAAAAATATTTAAATCCATAATGCTTTTAATAAAATGTTGAATGTATGTTTGTAGATTTACGCGAACAACACCAACATTTATTATAAAAAACTTAACTTGATTGCTTGTAACTTGATTTATCTACACTCAAAGTTATATGGTAGATGGGTTTTACAAACTAAATATTTATTACATGAAATGATGCAAAAGACATGAAATTAGGAATACTAAATTCATTACATCTTTCAACAGATATTAAAACTAGAAAATTTATTTTCATATATTTTGACAGATACTGAACATTACAGTAAATTTTCAGAGATTTACAAGCTATAATCAGAACAAATTGTTTATAACTATCTGAACTTATTTGTTATTTCATTACTTTCTATTAACACAACAGATCTCTAAAAATGATTAAATCTACTTCATACCTACATTTGCATCTACAATTTAGTTAACTCTATACAACAACACAATACTGAACCCTGTGCCCTATTATAATCCCATTTGTTAATCTCTTCTGTTATTGGAATGTTCTGCAGTTTAAAAACATTGCAGAAATACCTCACTCTTTCAGTTAATGTAGCAAGATTCACAATGTGTACATTCATATTAAATAGAAATGGATAATCTTGTGGTTTTCAATTATGCTCAGTCTCAGCTTTGTCAATCTCAGTCAGTTATGAGAATTTTAAATCAAAACATCTATAGAGCAGAACTTGGCTGGTGTAGAGGTACACATATTTTATCAGGAAAGAACTAAAGAGTTATAATTAATGAATATGCAAAATGTGGCATACACTTATTTTAAAAAGTCAAAATTTTGAACATTCAATATACCATATCTCACCTGAGGACTGATTTTAGAAACTGCATGTAATGGTGTAAGAAATACTGAAGCTCCCATTTCTTTTTCATCTTTTATGTGCTTGCCTGTATGGAAATTTAAAATGTTCAGAAACATTTCAAGAATTCTGATTTTAAAAAAGGTAAGAATTATTTCCTATTTTCCCTATACTCTATTTCTTATTCACAGTTCATATACAAGTAGTCCTCGACTTGCAATAGTTCATTTAGTGACCATTTAAAGTTACAACGGCACTGAAAAAATGATTTATAATCATTTTTCATACTTATGACCTTTGTGGCATCTCCATGATCATGTGATGCTTGGCAACTGACCCATATGTATGACCGTTGCTATGTCCCAAAGTCATATGATCACCTTTTGCAACTTTTTGACAGGCAAAATCAACAACCGTTGCAGCATCCCCATGGTGACATGATCAAAATTCAGACGTTTGGCAACTGACTCATACTTATGACGATTGCAGTGTCCCAGGGTCACGTGATCCCCGTATGGGGAGCCGAGGTGGCGCAGCAGTTAGAGTGCAGTACTGCAGGCCACTTTAGCTGACTGTGTTCAGCAGGTCAGCGGTTCAAATCTCACCGGCTCAAGGTTGACTCAGCCTTCTATCCTTCCGAGGTAGGTAAAATGAGGACCCAGATTGTTGTGGGCAATGTAAATATATATATATATACATTGCTTACTGGTCTACACCACTTAGAGAGTGCTTGCACTTAAAGCAGTATATAAGTCTCATAAATAAATAAAATAAAATAAAGTATGCAACCATCTGACAAGCAAAGCCAATGGGGAAGCCAGATTCACTTAACAACCAAATTACTAACTTATCAGCTGTGGTGATTCACTCAACAACTGTGGCAAGGAAGGTCGTACAATGGGACAAAATTCACTTAATAAATGTCTCATTCAAAAAGAGAAATTTTGGGCTCAATGGTAGTCGCAATTTAGTAGGGACTATCTGTATTGTTATATACAGTACTGCTTAAACATTAAGAAATCCTTTCGAATTGTCAATATTTCTGCATAAATATGATCTAAAACACAAACTATTCTCTATATAAGTTCTAAAACTGGATAAAGAGAAAATATAGAATTCGTGTTTAGAATACAACAAGGATCTGATTTTAAGACTATCCTAAGTGGGAAATACATCCGTTTCACTTGATCAGCAGGTTAAGATTCCCCAAGTCAAATGATATATGTAAATCATATTTGATATCTGCTATCATTGCAGGAAGTTCTAAAGATTTGGCTTTCTTTTATGTTCCATGCATGATATAAAGCTATTCTAGATCTAGATGCTAAATCGCACCCTGGTTCAAGGTGCCTAGACACACTGAAAGGTGTCACAGTTCCTCAAAGCTCATCTCAAGCCCTCTGAGCCAAAAGGGAATGATCCCTATCACTTGCACACTGAGCTTGCATACTTGGTGCATTCCCTATGCTAACATTGGAATTGGCAGGAATTCATACATGGAAGAAACCATTGAATTGTCCTTGCATACAATCATACCAAGGTACAGAGTCCTGAACTACAGTCATCATATTCTGCAAGTTTCTCTGGGCAAGTGATTGCTACATATCAACACTTCCTGAATCACAATCTGAATCATTGGTCTACACCCTTGAAACAGGAAAGCCTTTTTCCATTATGTGCTTACTATGATTCCCAGAGAACTTTTCTCCCTACTTACCACAAATGCATAGTCACAAACACTGAAAAGTCTGATCAATGATTCATGAAAAGTTTTCTGTTTTGTCTGTCTGTCTGTGTACTCCCTGAATTCTTAAGTACTATACCCAACCAAAGATGATGTCTGTGAAATCTCTTAAAGAGTCAAGCAATGGTTGTATAGAAGAATTCTGAATTAAAAGTCCTCCTTCCTGTAAGTAAAACTGAAACACTTGGAGGGTATATATAGGCTGCTTTGATTTGGAGAGATCTATTGATGCTAGGAAATTGTTCAGAAGGATCATTTTTGTCATAGAGACAACAGTCTCCATACTGAATATTCAGTGCCTGATGAATTTTCCTCTTGACCACAGTTGTCACCTGCTTTTTCAACAGAAGCTGTGACTCCAACAGCACCGCCAAACTGCGCACAAGACAAATGAGGAATGAGAAAATGCAATCTTCATTGAAGACTAGCAGCAGAATATGCCAGAACCACAAGGCCAAAATAAAAAATGCCATTTGGTCTTGTAAGGAAACAGCCCTGTTCTGCCTCCTCCAAAGTCACTTCCTAATACTGAGGTAGGACTTTAAGGGCATCACTTAGTTGGTCTAAGGTAAAGTTGCATAATAGGATATTAATGATACTGTTGAAGACCAACATTGGAATAGATATATGACCCTCAAATTAGACAGATTATTGGCTTTCAGAATGTGTGGAATTGTTTCCTTTTAACTTAGAAGTACTGGAGCCAGGTCAAAAGACACAGACTTAGAATGAACGTTGAACTCAGGCTTTGAGAATCAGGATGGAATTCTTCTACATATAAAAACCACAACTAATTATCTCAAACTTTTGTAGCTGGAGCAATCTCATTTTATAAATGGAAACTGTTTAGTTTTTGTTATTGTCAAATAAATGGGAGTTAGAAAAACCTTGCTGATCCATTGCAGATCACCAGATTACAATTTATCTTCTAGCCAATTTATCTTCTGAAAGGACAACTTACCATATTCCGGTTTATAACTCTGAGAAGACATTTTATCTTTATGTCTATTTTTGGAATGGCTTCTGTGATCTGGAACAAAACTTTTTCGGTCAGTGCAGTCTGTGCTCCGAGTATAACTTGGTAAACAAGTGGTATAGTGCAATCCTGCCATTGACAGCATGCCCTGAATAGCTTCTTCCTCCATACTTGTCGAGGTAGGACATTCCCTAAAAAAGGAAAAAGCAGAAGGTACAGCTACATATCTACATACATGTGTGTGTGTATTCCTGTTCAATGTCATTTTGTTCCAATTATCTCCAATAATTTTTATACTATAGATCTCCTATGCAATTACTCACGTTTTATTTGCATTTTCATTTCTAGATGGCTTCTCTGTGATTTGAAACAGGTCCTTTGTTACTTTATTTTCCTCTTTAAAATTTGAAGTTACTTCTTGTTTTTCATCATCTCCTGAGCTTTCTGATTCCTCTAGTGAGGAGTCCTTTTGCTGGAGGGAGAGAAAATTATTTAAGCATTCTACTGACTAAATATAATCAGTGATTTAAACTATAGTTAAGAATCACCAGAAAGATAGGTAACAGGTTTTTTTTTCATTCAAATAATACTGTAATAAATGTGAATAGATTGCTGAAATACTTTAGTGTGAAATCCTAGCTTTAACAGTTATCTGGAACAACCCATTCAAGAGTAGTCCGCAATTTAAGAATTTTCTTGAACTCACAGTTCTTGATCAAACAGGTGACAGCTATGGCCTAGAGCAGTGATCCCCAGTCTTTTGGGCACCAGGGACCTGTTCCCGTGAAGAACGGTTTTGCCACAGAGCAGAAGGGACATGGTTTCATGTGCTCCCTACATCCTGCAGATGGGGCTTTGTTTGTTTGCACAGCCCAGTTCCTGTCATGCTGCGGACCGGTGCCTGTCCACAGACCAGGGATTGGGGACCTCTGGCCTAGAGGGCCTTTTCCCAGTTTCATTTGGTGTACCAGTTCTGCTCTTTCTTTGATCAGGAGACCCTTAGGACAATTGTTCATGCTCTAGTCATCTCGTGATGTGACTACTACAATATACTCTATATGAAGCTGCCCTTGAAAGTAACTCAAAAGTTCCAATAGGTCCAGAATTCAATGGCACAGACAGCAATAATATTCCCATGTGACACATCTTTTTAAATTGCACTGGTTGCCTCTATGAGTCCAGGTGCGATTACAGGTACTAATCCTACAGATAGGACATATAAAGCCCTACATGGCAAAGGGCCAGGTTATTTGAGGGACCACTTATCTCCTACTGTTTCTGGTCAGTTGATGCTGATAGACTAGACATGCTCCAGAACTCTTCAGTTAAATAGTGCTGTTTATCAAGCCCTAGGAAGCATGCCTTCTCTGTCACAGCATTTACCCTCTGCATTGAGATCTCCTCTGAAATCCATATGGCTTGTTAGCATTTCATAAGGTCTTGAAAAACTTCTCCCAAGTCTTGAGTTAAGATGGATAGATTCCTTTGTTAGATGTATTTTTACCTATGTTTTTGCAGTGAGAGATTGAATAGCATTCTGTTTTTGTTTTATATTTGTATTGCTTAATATATTGTGAACTGTTTAGTCAATTTGAAGCTGCAATCTTAAAGTTAAATAAATGAATATAAAGGTCAAGTATGATGGAAAAGAAAATGAAAATATCCCCATGTACGTGACTAAGCCAAATTGAATAACAATTGGGGGTGGAGTAACTTGCACTTGGTTTGAATGGACTTAATTAAAGAGAATATCCACCCACTACTGTAAAGACCCTCAATTGTTATTCGCTATGGATTACTCATATTTTAAATCACTTTGATCCACAAAAAATGTCTCGTATGTATCCTGACTTACAGCCTAAATGTTGGAGATGTGGATGTTTGGATGCTACTTACTATCATATCTGGTGGTCGTGTAAAAATATAAAAGCCTTTTGGATTAAGATATGGTGGAATATTCAAAGAATTTTTAGAAGGAGGGTAAAATTTACCCCACAATTGTTTTTGTTAGGTATTGTTACTGATTGTGATACCAAAAAGATTACATTGATGTTAAATTTAATTACAGCTGCAAGGTTGTTAGTAGGGCAATGTTGGAAGAAGGAATCTTTGCCTACTTTGCAAGAATGGTTTCTTAAAGTTTCTTATTTGGCGGAAATGGCAAAGATTTCAGCTTTCTTGAAGGATCAATCGCAAGAGAAGTATGTTGCGGTATGGAAAAAATGGATAGATTTTATACAACATAAGTTGGATATAAAAAAATATTATTTAGTTTTTTAATAACTTATATTTAAAATTTAATATTTTTTATCTTTCTTCTTTTTTCCTTTTCTTTATTCTTTTTTTTCTAAACATTTATTTTTTGTATTTATGTTTTTCATATATACACTATTGTTAATTATCTTACAATTTTCTTAAGTAATGTATTTAGATTTATTTATGGTTTATATTTTTTTAAAGATTTTTTGAATAAATTTTAATTAAGCCTATATTCAGCTCTGGGAAGGTCGGGGGAGGAAATGGGAGGGTTGGGGAGGTTTGGGGGAAAATTGTTTTGTTTTTGTAAAATTTTAAAAATTTTCAATAAAAAAAAATCATGGTCATATGTTATGATCAATCAAGAATCAAGAACATTTGAACAGGAAGGAAACCATTTACGGGGGGGGGAGCAGAAGCTTAGACTCGGGAAAAAAAACAAGGATTATTTTGTAAAACTCCTAATATTGTACATATTGTATTCAGTCTAACTCACTCATCTTTTAGCTAATCTCTATTTTTTTAGTCATACATAGAAGTAGTCTTCACTATTTTTTCCATACTTCATTTCAAACTAAATGTTCTTTGGATATTAAAAATATAATTCTTCATTGATTACTATTCCGAAACATGTTATTTACCTGGTTAGTGCAATCAGGTTCAGATTCTTCTGAATCAGAAATATCAGAATATTCTGAGCTGCCATTCCTGAGTTCTGATTTCACACTTTCAAAAAACACTAGAAAGAAAAAGAGGGACATTAGATTTTTCATTATATACATACATTATCTTATATTTTCTTTTTCTGCCAATCTTTTAATCCCACAAAGTTTCAATACTTAGAAGCAAACAGAATTTGGGATCATCTTGTAAAGCCCAGAATACTAATAAACTGCAGTACTTAAATTTCTTTTAGAATTTTCTCTCTTGCTTCATTCTGATAAGTTCAAACTCAGATCCATTTCCCCACATATGAATGAATTCACACATATAGATGAGTTAGTATTTAGAAACACCATCTCTGTCTAGGTTTAGGTAGAATGTAAAAATCTAATGTTGCTAAAGTTCTAATGGATTTTAAACTCTACTGATTTGTGTTTAGAATTCTTCTGACTTGGTTTTTGCTGGTGGTACCCATTTTAGAAGTAGAATGAGAATAAATATTAAATTGTTTTAAAATCCTAAATAATCTAAATATAAAAATCCAAAATAGCTCCTTTAAAATCTTTGCAGCATTTAGTATAGTATATTTCTAATAAACATATGGACAGTCTTGCTCAGCGTATGTAAAAAAAATATATGTCAGATATAACAAAATCAGTGTTTCTCTATTTGGTATATGAAGAATTAATGTTCCTATTTAATATATGAAAAAGTACTAAAAAGTTATCCCCCTTTCTTTTGTGGCATTGTCAATGGCAGTGAAGCTAGCCTGATGATGAAGTCACTTCCATCAATAATGTATATAGCAACTGGATATATAAAAATAGAGGAAGAAAAAGTATGAATTACTAATTCAAGAAAAAAATAGACATACTGTTCAATGGTTTCTGTGTATCCGCATGGCCATCTGCCTCCTGGGACTTCGGCTTTTCTGTCATAATAGTTCTTTTCTTCTCATCCTCATCTTCACTGTCTGCTGTGTATAGACTTGGATCTCTGAAGGGTCGCCGATCATCTCTGTCACAAAATATTCTGTTGTAAAGGATATCCATTGGAGTTTTCCCTTTGTTATTTTCTCATCTTTTAAAAGAGTGATATCTAACGTTCACTATAAATACTATAAACTAAAAATCAATTTAAATATTTTTCTCCTATATCTGGTCATACTATGTTTTTACTGATGAATTTCTGAAGAGAATGCAGAATTGTTAGGGATTTTTTTTCCTTTTTAAAAGGTTGATTTAAGTCCTTTTAAATCACTTTAAAGCACTACCATATCCGTAACATTACTGTTAACACTTGGTATACTGAGTAGCTATCAGAGCCTTTACTTATGTGTTTTTTTTCCAAACACAGCACTCCATACAGCATAAACTAGCTGGATTTAGCTTTCCTTTTATAACCAAACCTGCACAGTACTGCCTGGAGTGTTATTGGTGGCGCAGTGGTTAGAATACAGTACTGCAGGCTACTTCTCTGACTGTTGGCTGTCAGCAGTTTGAGTCTCACTGGCTTAAGATTGATTCGACCTTCCATCCTTCCATCCTTCCGAGTAAAATGAGGACCCAGATTGTTGGGGGGCAATATGCTGACTCTATAAACTGCTTAGAGAGGGCTGCAACGCCCTGTGAAGCAGTATATAAGTCTAAGTGCTATTGCTATTCCATGCCAAAGTTCATTAATAGAGAAGCCAGGAGCCTGCACAAACCTGAATCTGGCCTTACAAGTTAACAACACATTTCCTAAATTCTTACCTTTTAAAAACTTACATACAATTATATCATTTCTCAGCCTCAATCAATCAATTAAAAAGTGAACAGAATTAGCAAAATTCAATAAAGTGAAAGTCATGTAACATTTGTTTGGTACCTAATTATTCTTCCATTTGACAACAAAAGCCGTAAATCATTGTCTTTTGTTCTCCATTCTGGAACAGTGGAAGATGGTTGAAGTGGCTTGTTAAACCTCCCATTCAATTTATAATTTGCTGTGTCCTAAAGCAAGAGACAAAAAAAAGATTCCATTTTAAAAAGCTCTGTGTAATTCACATTAGTGGTGATGTAAACTTTATCTATAAACAAAAGAAGAAAAAATGCATTATTAATAACTATAACACAGGTTTATATGTACAAATTATTATGCACAAATAGGAAATTACTAAATTCTGTACTTTATAATACTTGAACCTTCTTCCGTTCTTTGGACTAATGAAGCTTAGCACACATAATTATACATATTGCATCAATATGTCAAGAATGATATTAAATAGGTTGAGGTAAGACCTAAGTGTAAGACCAATATGCTCAAGTGGAGGATGCTGGCAGATAGCAACACGCTGTGCGAATGTGGAGAAGCACAGAGTCCGGCCCATTTGTTGGTCTGTTGATTATTAGAATGCACCAAAAGTGATTTGTTTCTGGCCAATGATAAAGCCAAAAAGGTGGCCTCATTTAGGCAGTTTAAGGTTTGATATGGACATGAAATAAAAAAATAAAACATGTCAAGAAGCTAAGACAAGTAATTGATGACTTCTAGCATTATTGCACAATGTGGGACTATAAAAAAACTTTTAGAACTCACATACAGAATGTATTACCATAGGAAAAATTGATCTAGACATCAAAGTCTTTCATAATTTTCTTAGCATCCTAATGGTAAGCAATAATATGAAACGGTGATGGTATACTAAGTTATCAGACTGAAAGAGTTATTGCTGAAAACTTAATCTTTAATACTAAACTCTTATATTTCTTTTAATCTACATTTGCTAAATTTTTTGAGCTGATATATTATGTAAGCACACAATATTTTAGCAAAAGTAAATTACAAACATTTTGTATTTTGTACCCAGCCTTTTTGTACTTCATTTCATTCAAATTGTAATACTTGCCTCTTCCCATGGGGACATTTCTAATCTCTTAAGAGCTGCCCTTGTGTGGAGCTCCAGAATGTCCAGATTAGAAGGTGTCTTGATAGACTGATCTCGTAGCTTCCTTGCTTTTCTTCTGGAATGATGAATGGAGGCCAACTCACTTGATGATCGTGAAACTTGACACACACCAGTTCCCTGAGTTTTTGTTGGTTTGTTGTTCTCTTCCTTTAAGTAAAATAAAGCCATTTAGAATGGATTATTTTATAATTTCACATTCAGATAATGATGTACCAAGATAAGAAGGAAAAGATATTGGAAAGGGCTATTCCTTCTTCTTCTTTCACTGTAAGATTGGACAATCATTACAGCAGCAGTGCTCTGAGAGGAAGGGCAAGATATAATTGTGGAGACCTTGAAAATCCAGAGGAAAATATCCTGCACATCTTGTATCATATCTTGCCCTGTATAACTCTTGTCTCATCCCAAATGCAGCCTTTGGATGCCAAAAAGATATCCCTATTGTAATGTGTCTTCTTGTAAAACAACATTTTAGACGGTATGCAGTATGAAATAATAGAAAATTTAAGAATCCAGCTCATCAAACTAATTTCCATTTGATTCAAAACATTATCCAGTCCCACCTTAATTGTTTCCCTATAAAATGATGCAAATTTCCACCATCACAATTAAATGTCTTTTATTCATACCTCTACAGATCGAATTACTTTAGAAAGTTGCTTAATTAGCTGTCCAGGTCTAATATTATCTGGAATTTCAAAGGCATGTTCTGTTACAAGCTGTAAGAAAAATAAAAGAAAATCAGCTAAATTCTAAATATAAATGAAAAATAATACAGTCATACATTTCTACAAAATGCTCTGCATTGTGAAAAATAAAAATGCTACTGCATTTTTAAAAATAAAACTTACATCTTTTTTCATCCATAGTTTTAAAGCAGTAAGTAAAGCTTTCACTCCTTGTATTAAGAATGTTTGGGGCTGAAAACCATCTTCTTTCAGCTCTAGAAATGAGAATTTAAGTTTAGATTAATATTGTTTCAATAATGATCCATCAAGCAGTATCTACTGTATCTCAGCCATTGGTAAAATTTGACCCAAATATTTAAAATTATTATGAAAATAAAATGGGACTTTTCTACACCAATGCAGGCTAATTACAACATGGAGTAAAACCAGAAATGTACTGCAATTAAAGCATTAAGTATCCTTCAAACTACAGAGGAAGGACAGAGCTCTTGTTGCAAACAAATGAAGATTATTTAAATATAATGTCTCAAAGGTTATCTTAAAAACTGAACAGCAATTCCTTTTCTTCTCAATTGCATTAAACAGGATATTCTAGAACTGCATGCTTTAGAAGTGAGGTACCTCTGTGAAATTTTCAGACTATATATAGCCATTAAATTTTATTTCCACTTTCCATGTAATGATAAACTGATGCAGGGCTTGTACTGTATGCATAGTGTTAAATGACTATTGTGTTACAATTACACCTATTTATTATTATACCCCAAACAGAATTCCTGTCTTGTTTTCTTATCAACACAGATTAAAAATAAACAATAACAAATCAGTACATTTGCAAGAGTCAACATTAGAAGAATTAGGCACTAAAACATTCTAAAAAAACTTCATGATAGCTTAGTATCAATATATAAATGATCTAGTTTGCCTTATTATCCAATGATTCAAGACTGTCATAAGGAGAAAAGTTGATAACTGTTTTACTTTGATAACGCAAACAATACTGAAGGATTATTTGTGGCACCTTAAAAGAAAAACCAATTAAACCATAACTGCATTTGTAGTTCTATCTGTGTATATAGTGTATATAGTCCATAAAAACTATGTAAATTAGTTAATATATCATGAAATTCTGCTGTTTTTTATGCAACTAATAGTTAGCTCTCCAGAAATTACAGCAATGAGTAAATACGGATGCTCCATTTCATTAGCTAGATAACGTTACTGATATGAATGAGCCCTTATTCTCAGAAGATTCCAGTTCTTTGACACAGACTGACAGAAAGGACATAGGGCCAATTTGTTTCACCTGCAAATGAAAATGCTTCTCAAACTGGTTTTTAAATTGAACTTAAATTGGGCATGTCTGCCTTGTTCAGTTCTGAAGAACAGATGGTAGCCAGATTCATTGTTTAGAAATTTGCATGCTCACAAGAGTATCTCTTCCACATCATAGTACTAAACAATTTTGGTTTAGAAGTAAATTTGATACAAAACTTTCTATTAATGTTCCTTTGTGATGATCAATTTATTTTGCATTTATCCACACTGCTGCTATATTGTTATTTATCATGAAACAAACCAGATATCCTTACTTTTTCTCAGCAACTTGAATTTGTGATACATACATTTACAAGTTGAACTATATTATTATTGTTGATTTTATTTACACAGCCTACCAGATAATTCTGAACGTACTTTTAACTATCAGAACTTTCCCAAGGATCCAGGACAGTTAAGATACCATTGTAAGATACTGGTATGTTTTGTAGTGATCATCTTCATTCAGATCTTGACATTTCCACAGGTTATCTTGATTCCTTTAGATTTTACTATTTTTCTCCATTTGATAGTGTGCCTGGCACATTTGTCCAGTAGAACCTCCAGTATAATATCTTGGCTATTTATATGGACAGCGTTGAGCAGCAATTTTATTTCAGACAATGTTTTACCATACAGTTTCAGATTGTCCAAGTAAAGGAGATGGGCTAACCTGCAGATGTTTTGATGTTTGATAGCCATGGCCTAGAGTTATTCAGTATTGTTGACAAAGTAATCACTGCAATGACAAACAGTAGTAGTGATAGTGAGTCTCCTTGAAAGATTCCTCTCTTGATCTTAACCCCTCCCAATCTATCACTATTGACCAGGAGCCATGTTTTCCATTGTGCCATCTATCTTTGTATAAATCTTCTAATGTTTCTACTGACTTCTGTTATTTCAAAATACTTGATTACCCAATCATGTGTCAGGGAGTTGAATGCCTTCTTAAATCAATCTATGCCACATTCAAGTTGGTCTTCCTTCTCTTGCAGTTTTCTAGAATCATCTTGTCAATTAGGAATTGATTTTTTGTTCCTCTGCTGTTTGGACAGTTTCAATTTTTCTACTTCTTTAATCAGAAGGCTCTGTTCTTTCTGAGGCAGAGGAGAGGAGTTGGAACAAAAACAATTAAATTGCTGTGCTGGCTTCCTCTACAGTCAACTTCCCCTGGTTTGCTTCTATAGTCTGAGCTGCTTCTTGCAACACTTTGGTTTCTTTATCCTCCGGAGACCTTTGCAATTCTTCCAATTCTGCTTCCGTGAATATTTTATTTTATATTATAAATCAGTGCTGATCTGCTAGCCTGTTTTATTACTTTTGATTCTGGATGTTGCTCTTCCCAGAACTGGTGCATTCATTTCAAGTATTTTCATCTTGGTGGATTTGATCTATAACAACAGATCATTATTTCTTTATTTTCTATCTTTGTATGTTTGTGACAGGTAAACATCTTTCCTTCTAATAGTTCTGCAGCTGCTGGCCCTAGTTGCTCAGCAACAGTCTTGAGTCCTGCAACCTATCCAAATGTCCAGGAACTTTAACACCTAGCGCAGTTTTTGTTGACCTAAGTGACAACTGAGCTGGTATGAGTTTCTGTAAATTACATCTCACAATATTGTTTATAGGAGAGACACTCTTTGTCTGACTCTCAAGAGACCTGTCCAGAATAGTTGAACTTCTGGCATAGCTCTCATCTTCCTCAGTGCACACAAGTCCATGACCATGCCAAGATTTATTATTATTACTATCATCAACATGGGAAAGCCAAAGAGATTGGCTAGAACACTAAATCATGCATGGGCAATCCTGCAGCTATGGGAAGCCATCTGTGCAGCCATCTGTGCCAGCACTATGGGTGTAGAAATCACTAAAATTGTGCATGGTAGGATAATCAGCAGGGATAGCTATTCCACAGAGTATCTTCACTGTGAATCATTGTGCTAACCAAACTGTTACCTGGCATGCTTGGGGATCAGGATTTACAACATAATAATAGCATAATCAATCCTTCCAGAAAAAAGAATGGTATAGATGAGGTGAAAATGAGTAGGTACTTAAGAAAAAATAATGGAAGTTAAACAGCAGTCCTTTTAGAGTGGGAAAATACTTATTTTCATATCCATAAAACTGTACTCAGCATCATTATTTGAAGACCTATCCCAAAGGGGGAAAATGCTTTTACTTCCTTTGTCAAAGCCTTTGAATTCAAGTACAAAGGATGATATGTGAAGGGTTGCTACTATTGTTCAAGTGCAAACATTTAAATTAGTATAGCTTGCATAATATTTTAAAACTATATAAACTGGTTACCTTGATTTTTCTTAATTGTAAAGTATAAACAACTTGCTTCTCTGACTATGATGTGCTTACACACCCAAATCCTCGTAAAAAAGCCTATTCTCAAATCCTCCTTAAAATATTAAATTAGTTACCTTTCAAAGTTTCCATTAAGTTTTTGGCCACAAACCAACAGATGGCTTCAAAGAAAGGGAATTTGAAAAGATCTGGAGTTTTTAGTCTTTTCTCCATTTCATAACACCTAAATAAATGATTCAAAAGGATTATTTTGTATGAATATGCAATCACTGCTCAATTTGTTCATGATATGTAGCAAAATAAAATATACCGTTAACAACCAAAATTTAATAAAATTCCTGGTGAAGTGTAGCAAAGCCCACTTGACAATTTTTTTCATATTCTAAGATTAAGAGTTCCATCCACTGCATTCAGATATATGAAGTATGTTTTTATAAATTCCATGAACTGTTAAAGAGACAGATGTTTGCTATTAGAAGTAGTCCTTGCCTGTTGACCAATGATTTAATGACAGTCACAACAGCCCCAGAAATGTTTTAATGCCCATAAAGCATTTCTAGATAAAATAATCATGTGATTGGGGGAGGTGGGGGTGCCACGCCACCTTCCCCAATCACATGATTATTTTGGGTGCTTGGGAACCTGTTCACATTTATGACTTATTGACTAAGTGCCTTGAAATCATATGATTGTCATATGCTATCTACTCTGCCAGGTTCCCCAGAAAGTCAATGGGGAAGTTAGTAGAGAAGGTTGCAAGGAGAATGGACATTCCACTTGAAGTCCATTTTCCCAGTACACTAGGGGATGTCCCCTCTCCTCCATGTACGGAGGGAAATTGTCCCACATGGAGGAATGGATCAGAATGCTCATATTTACTAGTATTTCCCGACCCCTCTGGAAATCTTCTGAAAGGCTTCGTAAGAGAGGAGAAAACACTAGCAAATACCAGTGTTCTCATGATCATTGCCCCTGGAGGGATGGGGCAGAAAGAGGGCCCAAGTCTCCCAGGTATTCTTGGAACTCCAAGTCCTCTCCCTGCCCCACGAAGCCCAGGAAATCCAGGCCCCTTTCCCCAACAGCCAGTTTAACAACCGCAACTGGGAGAATTTGGATTGTGATTGTTGAGTGAAGTGATCATGTGGCATCTCACTTAATAACCACTTCACTTGACAACCAAGATTCTAGGCCCAATTTTAGTCATAAGTGAAGGATTATCCTTAGTCATAAGTGTAGGACTATCAATAACTTAAATAATATTTTCAGTAACTCTATTATTTATTATTTTTAGCGTATGTTGAGAACATGACAGAAGAGAAGTAACATATATACACAGTTCATATAATTATATATAAAACTTTTATAGGGCAGTGGTCTCATAACTGGATGTCCAATTCAGCTATGCAGGTGATTGCCTCAAGTATTACTTCATGCAGGTTTTCTAGAGAATTATAGAATACACAACGGGTGGAAAGGAGAGAAGCAACCTAGAACTAAGGAGAAACTTCCTGACAGTTAGAACAATTAACCAGTAGAACAACCTGCCTCCCGAAGTGGTGAATGCTCCAACACTGGAAGTTTTTAAGAAGAGACTGGACATCCATTTGTCCGAAATGGTATAGGGTTTCCTGCCTAAGCAGGGGGTTGGACTAGATGACCTCCAAGGTCCCTTCCAACTTTACTATTATTATTACATGTCGTGGGCAATCTTGCCCAATATGTTAGTTTACATATTAGCATCACAATTGCAACAAGAGGAATCCTTCCATCCTCACTGATACAGGGCAGAGGCATTTCTTCCAGTATCCCACCTAATTCTGTTCAATTTCGACCAGACAGAACAAGGCAGGTCAAAACCAGGTGGCTGGATAGAGGGATCCCTAATGATCAGGCCACAAGAAGATATCTTGGACCATTCCTCTCTCCAGGCATTCTCAGGGTTAAGCTGTGTAGATGTTAAATGAATAGCTGTTTTCCATGTTGGCCTATGGGATTTCAAGATTGTGATGGGCTGTGCATTGTCCTGGTGAATAGGGAGGGCCCTGTTGTTCAGAATTTTTGACCATAGCCAAATGAGAGGGTTTTTTTCCTTCTAAAGTGGGGAAGTATTACATTGCTAAGTATTGGTAACCATTGCATAGGATGCAATGTGCCAGAGATAATATGCATTGTCTGGTGGAGTTGGACATCGACCATTTGGGTGTGGGTGCTGTTAAGCCACATGCTGGCACAATATTCAGCTGTGGAATAAACCAAAGTCAAGGCTATTGTTCATAGGATGTTAGCATCAGCACCCCAGGATATTCATACTTGTTTAGCCAATTTCCATTTTTAATGTAATTTTGTTAGAAGAGGCAAGCAATTCAGAACAATCTATTCATTTTATCTGGAGATCATCAGATTATGATAATCCCTGTATTCTTTGCAAAATATCAGCATGTTGTCTTTATAAGACCAGAAATGATTTAAGACCAATTTAACAAAGACATGTGTTTACATCTGTAGAAGAAAATAGTTGGATAAAAGAGGGAATTCCAAGTCTAACCTGAGCTGCATGCCAATATTGAGGTTGTGCAAGAAGTTTCCTCCAAAAGCCATACAGTCCTGAGAAGTGAGTACAGCATGAATCCATCCTGAAACAAAAAGTTAAGCCTATATATCCACAATATTTTGTTTCCAAAAGCACTAGAGAGGCAAGTTGTTTTAACAACCCACATATTGTTCAAATCAAAGTTTTATCATCAAATTACTATTATCTTATTGGACTATCAACATATCAATAACTTTCAGTTGTGCAGTACAGGTCTGCTTGCTCAAAAGCGTAACCAAAAATCTCAAAAATAAAATCAACAGCCAGAAACTGGTAGATTGTGAATTCAAGTCCTGCCTTAGTCATGAAAACCAGTTGGGTGGCTTTGGGCCAGTCATTCTCTCTCAAACCACCTCACAGGAAGGTTGTTGTAGGAAAAATAGGAGGTGGAAAGAGTGTTCAGTACATTTGCCACCTTGAGTAACTTATAAAGTAATAAAGGTGGGATAAACATCTAATGTAAATAAATAAATAAATACTAAACAACTCTTCCTGCCATAAATGAAGCATCCGTTTGAAAGCCAACTTTCATTTTCCTATCTAGTTTTATCTCAAAACTTAAAAAGCTGTTAGACTACTGAATATAACTGAAATATTTCATCAATTTGTATCCTTTCATAAATCTCCTTGCTTATACAGTTACAAATATTTTACCCTGTATGACAGGGATCTCCAACTTAGGCAACTTCAAGTCTTGTGGAGTTCATTTCCTAGGATTGGAGTTGCCAAGACTGGAGACAGGGGTCAACTCACTCAAGAGCCGCCTTGCTTAGTAATGGAAATTCTGGTCCCAATTGTGGTCATAAATTGAGGACTACCTGTATTTTGTTTCATTAACCTCAAAAGCTGCTTTTTGTTCCCTTTGTTCTATATATGTTACTAGTATTGCAGGTTATTTATTCAACAGGAAATCTGTCTCATATAGCAGAGGTCTCCAACATGGCTGGCTTGGGAATTCTGGGAGTTGAAGTCCACAAGTCTTAAAGTTGCCAAGGTTGGAGACCCTTGCTTGATGAGACAGATTTCCTGTTGAATAAGTAAGCTGTGATAATAGGTGACATATATGAAGTAACATTCTCAATTTGTGAGTATTTTTGTTTATATCTGGTGCTATCCATAGATTCTTGATAGTTAACAGCCATAGCTGTCAATAATGCAGTAAAAATACATAATAAAATATCTATTTATCTTTTAAATAAAATTTGAAATTATAAAATAAAATCAAGCAATAAGGGCAATAATTTACTAATGGTACCATCCCATTCAGTTTAGTCTTAAAGGTCTTAGAAAAGACCAATAATGTGATGACAATTTCAGTTCCAGGAGAAAACAAAAAGCAGCTTCTGAGGTTAATGAAACAAAATAGAGGTAGTCCTCAATTTATGACCACAATTGGGACCAGAATTTCCATTGCTGGGATGCTGCAACCATCATAAATATATGTTGGTTGCCAAGCACCCAAATTCTGATTATGAGATTATGGGGATGTTGTAATGATTGTAAGTGTAAGGACAAGTAGTTTAGTCACTTTTTTCAGGGCCATTGTAATTTTAAACAGTCACTAAACCAAACAGTTTTAAGTTGATAACTATTAGTAGGTCTGAACACATGTACTTATAGTTCCATGCTGAATTCTTTATTAAACTGTCCTGGAAATCACCACATGTGCTGCAAAGTATAGCTATCAGCTTTCCCCCCCCCCAAAAGCATGATTGAAAAAAAAACATGGAAGAAGTTCTGGGAAAACATAGACACAACCTGATAGGCACAAAGTAACTGGCACACAATGAAGAAAAATGGAAGAGTATGGTATGGAATATCAGCAGACCTATAGTATCTGCACCCAAAAACTGGTTACAGATGCAATCTAAGGATTTAATCCAAATTCAAGTGAATAAAAATAACAGACTAATTAACACCATTAATTTTGTCTAACAGATACAAGCAAATATGGACTGAAGGCTTTGATTTAATCTCCATTATCACCTCAAAACCTTAAAGATCAACTTTTTTTCTGAAGAACATATCTGCCAAACAGTATTACAAATCAAATCAGGAATTATACTGGCAATTGAATTCAATATAACCCATGCCCTATCATATTATCAATGATTATACTAACTTGATGAATTAATAATTTTCTCTGTGATATTGGAATAATTAAATCAATAAATATATATTTTTATATTAAAAAATCATGTATTTTATTTATTTATTTATTAAAAGTATATGCCACCTATCTCACCGAAGGTGACTCTACAGTAAATATAATTATTGTATACATTGTTAGAGTATGGAACAACAAATAGCAGTGTTGAAATTCTTTCACTGGTTTGAATACACAATTATTAAAAATGTAGTAGGAAATGTACAATATACAAATAGATAATTCTTTAGCTATCTTCTAACTTTCTTCAAGTTCTTTACCCATCTCAACTTCTACCTCCATAAATGCATAGTAATATCTGAGTTTATCTCCTAAATTTAAACTTAATTGCTAAACTAAATTAAAAATTGTCTGAACATTAGTTACCGAGCTCCAATACATTGATATGTTAATGGACAGGGAAAGAATTTTTTACCTGTTGGAACAAATAAGGTATGTCCTTGCTTCACAACACATTTATAACATTTGTCAACTTTATCGCCAAAATACACTTCACTCTGGGTAACAGATGAACTCCAGGATTCATAAATTGCCAGATTATCATTAGTAGGTTTGATCAAGTAGAAAATCTTTTCACCCTATGCACAGAAGACATTTCATTACATGTTGTACATCTTCGACAATTTTGTATTACAACCATTAATATCACTACAACATAATGAAAGCATAGAATTTATTGCTATTTAAAAGGAAAGTACTATTATCAAATCTAACCAGTTGGCTAGACAAAATCAGAAATCTATGCAATTTTCTCTGTGGATAGCAAAATAAGCAATTCAATAAGTTAAGTGAGAAACATGTATTATTTTCTCCAACCATTATTCACACACACACACACACACACACACACACACACACACACACACAGTGCATTCAGGAAGTATTCAGACCCCCTTTACTTTAATCAGTTTTGTTTTGCTGCAGTCTGATTCTATAGTTGTTGAAATTAATTTTTTTTCTCATTAATATACACTCAGTTCCCCATAATGACAAAGAGAAAACAGAATTTTAGACATGTCTGTTGCAATAGGAATTTTTTAGAAATTGCAACATTAGCACCAAGAATATGACAAATCTTTTTTCCTTTTACTGAAAAAGTGGTTTCAATGTGATATGTAAAAGAAAACATTCATAATGAGAATTTGTTACATTTGCACATTAAGGAAATTAACAGTTTTCTTACCCAAAGAACATGATACCAAACAGAAGTGCCCCCAAAATCAATATGAAAATCTGTGTAGCTATCTTGAACTCCCATTAAGCAGTACTTCTGAACAAAAGGCTTAGGGAAGACCGAGTCATCTGGCCAGTAATTTTCAACCCATGAAAGTTTTCTGGCAATTTCAGGAACTTCCACTAACTCGGACATCCTTTAAAATTCAAAACAAAAATTGTAATTTGAATAGGAATATGACTAAGGATTTCTTAATATATGCAAATATGAAAAATCTTTCCCCTTTAGTAATATTTTGATTCATAATGCTATTTAGATTGAACAGTTAACAGCAAAGATAGATAATTAGTCCATTATATGACTTATTTAATTATGTTACATATTCTCTGAAGTGAAACTTGTATGAACTATAATGAGATTTGAATGAAGAAAAAAATAGAATGAAAGTCTTCATCTAAATCCGAATGTTAAATTATTGTATATCAACACAATATAATAGTTATATAGCAAAGTTAATGGTACTTTATTTCAAATTAGAATTGTTTTTCTAAGTGGTTAAAATGTTCAAGAAGAGATCATTGATTAATTCAATCAACTATTTTTGTATATTTTAAATTATTGGTTCATAGGAATGTGGTTATTATGTGTTTCTATATGTAGTTTCAAATTGGGAAGATCAGTACCTTATTGCATGACAAGAAATATTTTTTCGTGCTGCTTGGATGGTAAAAAAAATTATATCAGAAGCCTTAATTAATAAATTAAATAATTAGAAGTCATGCAATAGTATTAAATAAATAAATTAAATAAAGTAATTAAATAAATTAAATAATTAATAGTCATGCAATAGTACGAAATTTCTAAAATAGAGAATATCCCACAAAAATTGATCTACAATGTTAAATACAATGTTTAGCTCTTAGCATCTGCGAATAGATTTGATTTAGAGACATAAACCCAGATATCATTTTCATTTTTTAATTAAAAAATAAAGGGTATTTTTTAAAGTAACATAACCTTTAACAAACATTTTAAAAATATTTTCATTTGTTTTGCATATATTTGTCAGGCCCTCTCAGATAAACCAGATAGGAAACACTACTAGATGAATTGAATCTACTTTATTCTAAGGCAGTGTTTCTCAACCTTGACAATTTTAAGGCATGTGGACTTCAACTCCCAGAATTCCACAGCCAGCATTGGAATTCTGGGAGTTGAAGTCCACATGCCTTAAAATTGTCAAGGTTGAGAAACACTGTTCTAAGGCTACATTAACAGAATTTTGCAAGTTTGAAAGTACAAAACTTCCCGCCACCTCTTTTAACTGTTTCATCCATTAGGAAATATTCTTTCTAAGTTTCTTTCTCTGACCTTTAAGTTACTGGGAGATCTTGCCTCTCTTGTCTAATTATTTCCTAGGTTGTATCTCTTCTCTACTTTCCCAAAGGTCATTCCCACAGTCCATTAAACATATAAGAAAAATATAGATAACCCTTTTCCAAAGAAAAAGCAATTGCATTCATTCATCCTTTCAGAAGCAGTAAATGCTCCAACACTGGAAGTTTTTAAGAAGAGACTGGACAGCCATTTGTCCGAAATGGTGTAGGGTTTCCTGCCCGAGCAGGGGGTTGGACTAGATGACCTCCAAGGTCCCTTCCAACTTTACTACTATTTAGGGTAACCTTAAGCTTTAAATATACATCATAATCAGTTATTTGCGTTTATCTCCAAACTGTCATATTCCACCTTTCAACTTCATATTTCATTATTGCAACTATCCAGAAAATCTGCAATTATTGCTATATGCTACAGTTTAAAATATAAGCCTTTTTCATTCCAGACATATATATGAAAACTGTATACTCACTTTGTATCTGAAAATTCAAGGCTTATCACATTTAATACTTTTGGTCTCTCAGGGTTTGTAAAATATTTAATGTAATTATGGAGCTTCATTTTGCTATCTGCTTGTCTTGCCACATCAATAACATCTATCACTTTATCACCACCTGTAAAAATGAAACATTTCAATCACTGCATAAATCAGTCATTAAAGATCTGTAGAAATTACATCTCAGGATTATGGGAATATAGTAATTTATGCTTAAGTAACTATATTAATTTTTTTAAAAAATCCTGAAACTGTTAAAGAGAAAATATAGATAAGTGAACCATTAATGTTTTAAGTATTCCATTCATTCCAATTAGATTAATCTCAAGACATGATATTTAAAGCTTACAACTGAAACTAAAGCTATACTCTTTGGAGAATTCATCTTCAAGTGTTCTCAGAAAGTGTCACAACCATAAAATATTTCAGGAAAAAAATATTAATTAAACCCATTTACTTTTCCTCGCCCTTTCGTGTTCAAACCAACAGTGCATACCTACATAATGTTCCACATCTAGAACAGAAAACGTAGAAGGTGGGAGTCTGAGACCTAAGCCATCTAATTTAGGTACCATAATGGGAACATCAAAACCATGCTTTTCCAGGTATCTTTGTGTCAATTGGCTTCCATGCATTTTCAAAATTATTTCATCAGCACTAGAAAGGAAGTACATATAAATGTATATTATTTTAAAAATAGAAACAGAATAAAAAAACTGCTGTATCATTCCTCTTTCAAACAAACTGAGTGAATGTTCCAGCAGTAGAATTTTTTTTGAAAATGAAATATAAAGTTTCTGTCCTTCCCAACATTTATTCTCTCTGATCGTTTTCAGCAGCTTGCTTTAATTGATCATGTCACTGAAACGATTCTTCCAGAATGTCTTTAATATTATTAGATATCTAGTTTTAACTTCCTCAAATAAACATTGAAATCCTGATGAGATTCATATCCTCTAGACTAGAGTAATATAGTTAAAGGATCAGAATCACTATTTGAAGCAACTACACATAATTTTGAATTTTCCTACCTTACATAATTTCTAATGCAACTGTTCTTACCTTGGGAATGAACACGCACGTAGCTGTTTAACAAATGTTCGGGTTCCAGCTTGAACTGGCTTTGAACCATCATCATGTTCTGTATAGTCATGTCTGTGCCAGTTCCTCCTCTTCTTCACTACATAGTGAAAAATGTAAGTGCCAATTTATGATATTAGTAATGAATTACTCAGGGTTTTTGCTAGGATCTCATAGGAAGGGGAAAAGAATGAGGAAAGAAAAAAATGTATAGTACACCACACTGAACGTTTTGGAGAATAAGCGCAATACCATGACACATAATACAAATGTGCATTCTACCCTTTATTCAATATATTGTAGTCCAGGGGTAGGCATGCTGGCTCAGGAATTCTGAGAGTTGAAGTCCACGAGTCATAAAAGAGCCAAGGTTGCCTACCCCTGCTGTAGTCAGATCAGTGGTTTTTTTCTAACCATCCCCAAGATGTTCATTTTAGCACATATAATTGCCTCAAGATCACTGAGAGAATATTTCTTGTTGAATAGGGATTTGAATTAAGGTTCCCTGTTTTCTCCCAGTAAATGTAAATAAATTTCAGATCAGGTCCTGCCACCAGTAAATTATTATTAAAATCTTTCTTTTCCTTCATTCCAAATTAAAGGAAATATTTTTAAAGATATAAGAAAAACTGAGTATGGCTTCATTCAAATGACTGTAGTTATATCAACATCCTAAACAGAAACTTTATAATACAGGTTAAAAAAGTTTAATGACAAAATTCAGTATCTTGCCAACCAGAATATATTCCAGAGATACACTTTTAATCATTTGCAGTCTGCAATATTCATGCAAACCATTCAGTGTAGGCTTCGACTATCCCACCTAGATGTTTCTTGCTCACTAAAGCATCCATTATTTCAGAACTGATAAATTCTATCGCTACAATTATGTCAATGAACAGAATTGTATTATAAAGTTTAAACTTGCCTTTCAAATGTACTGGTTAAATTTTGCTATACAAAGTAACTTTGAAATCTTAATTTTAAAATCCATACTGAGCAAATTCTGTTGTGAACACAACTTCAGAGTAATTGGAACCTAGCAGTAAAGATTTACATTTGCTTGGATAAGTCTATAAAAGACTAATATTACAAGATAGTCTTAGCTGAAAACTGTTTTCAGTGTTTTCAAATTAAAGTTGTCCTCGTAGTATAAACCTATTTATTTAACAGCTAGTCATGGGAACTGCAGTATTTTCTGCATATCACAGTAGATGAGGATGAATGCCACACCTTCAAGAACTCAAACAGTTTATATTCAATAGCAGCTGCAAAAGAAATATTTAGCCATAGCCCTGGTATCCATGTTGTATTTACCAAACTTTGGTGTGCATGTTTGTATGTAAACTGTACATATCATTTTATCCAAATGTGTACAACTGTTTCTTTAAACTCAACCAACACTTTAGAAAATAGCCAATGGCACTGGCAGTTTTTTAGACAGGCAGCTGAACTACAGAAAATGTAAGACAAACACTAATAAACTAAATAACTATTGCTGCAGAGCCTAGTAGGTTTGAATAAATCTGTTGCACAGATGAACATAACATACATTAATCAGCATTATATCGTTTTGGTATTTGAAAGTGACTCAATTTGAGATTTAGATGGTGATATTAGGATGGATAAATTATGCACATAAAATTATATTGACTTTATCTCCAGAGTAGACTTGTTCAGGCAAACATAGATAGCATACTAAAAACATCACCTTGCTGACAAAGGTCCATATAGTCAAAGCTATATTTTTTCCCCAATACTAATGTAGGGCTGTGAGAGTTGGACCATTAGGAAGGCTGAGCACCAAATAACTGATGTTTTCAAATTGTGGTGCCCTAAAGACTCTTGAGAATTCCTTGGACTGCATTTAGATCAAATCAGTCAATTCTCAAATAAATTAAACCTGACTGTTTTTTGGAAGGAAAAATACTGAAGCTGAAGCTCAAACACTTTGGTCACCTAATGAGAAGAGATGATTAATTGGAAAATGCCTAATGTCAGGAAAGATTGAAGGCAAAAGGAGAAGGGGACAGTAGAGGATGAGATGATCAGATAGTATCTTTAACACAATGAACATGAATTTGGGCAAACTCTGGGAGAAAGTGGAGAACAGGGGAGCTTGGCGTATTATGGTCCATGGGGTTGCAAAGAGTTGGAAATGACTTAGCAACTGAACAACAACAAAAAGACTTGTTCAGGGATTCATAGATTCTTTCTCAAAGGTATTTTCATCAATACTTACTATCTGATAATCAGAATTGTTGGATTATCTCAATAAGTCCCTTTCTCAGCACATGAAACAGAGCTCAATTTCAATTTTGCACAAGAATATGGAAATGGTAATTTAAAAATAGAAGGAAATAGTCATTTCTTCATTTGTCACTGTCAAACCATTTTTAATAAGTTTTGGACTGATGGCCATTTTATCTACTTGCAGATATAGGAGACTCACTAAGATGGTCTACCCTAAAGATTTATGAAAAGCTCTGGGACATCATAGAACCATTGAAATATGGAATGATAAACTGAGATGAGTCACTGTCACTACTGCTGTGAACCCTAGACAGTCTCCTGAGGATTTACAAGAAATGAAATAAATTAGGTGTAAGCGGCAGATATCTTGTAATAGTAATAGTAGTAAAGTTGGAAGGGACCTTGGAGGTCATCTAGTCCAACCCCCTGCTCAGGCAGGAAACCCTACACCATTTCGGACAAATGGCTGTCCAGTCTCTTCTTAAAAACTTCCAGTGTTGGAGCATTTACTGCTTCTGGAGGCAGGCTGTTCCACTGATTAATTGTTCTCACTGTCAGGAAGTTTCTCCTTAGTTCTAGGTTGCTTCTCTCCTTGATTAGTTTCCACCCGTTGCTTCTTGTCCTGCCTTCAGGTGCTTTGGAAAATAGCTTAATTCCCTCTTCTTTATGGCAGCCCCTGAGATATTGGAATACTGCTATCATGTCCCCCCTTGTCCTTCTCTTCGTTAAACTAGACATACCCAATTCTAGCAACCATTCCTTATATGTTTTAGCCTCCAGTCCCCTAATCATCTTTGTTGCTCTTCTCTGTACTCTTTCTAGAGTCTCAACATCTTTTTTTACATCGTGGTGACCAAAACTGGATGCAGTATTCCAAGTGTGGCCTTACCAAGGCATTGAAGAGTGGTATTAATACTTCACGTGATCTTGATTCTATCCCTCTGTTAATGCAGCCTAGCACTGTGTTGACCTTTTTGGCAGCTGCAGCACACTGCTGGCTCATATTTAGGTGATTGTCTACTAGGACTCCGAGGTCCCTCTCACAGTTACTACTATTGAGCATGGTGCCACCTATGCTGTACTTGTGCATTTGGTTTTTCTTGCCTAAATGTAGAACCTTGCTTTTTTCACCATTGAATTTCATTTTGTTAGTTAGTGCCCAGTGTTCAAGTCTGTCCAGATCCTTCTGTATCTGAAGCCTGTCTTCTGGAGTGTTGGCTATTCCTGCCAGCTTGGTGTCATCTGCAAATTTGATGAGTTCCCCATCTATCCCTTCATCCAAATCGTTGATGAAGATGTTGAAGAGTACTGGGCCCAGAACAGAGCCCTGGGGCACCCCACTACACACTTCCCTCCATATAGATGCAGTTCCATTGAGGACCACTCGCTGAGTACGGCCGGTCAGCCAGCTACGGATCCATCTGGTGGTGGTTCTGTCTACCCCACATTTTTCTATCTTGTCAAGTAGTAGGTTGTGATCTACTTTATCAAATGCCTTACTGAAGTCCAAGTAAATTATGTCCACAGCATTCCTCTGATCCACTAATTTTGTCACTTGGTCAAAGAATGCAATAAGATTTGTCTGGCATGATCTATTTTTGACAAACCCATGTTGGCTTTTAGTAATGACTTTGTTTGCCTCTAGGTGTTCATTGATTTGTTGTTTGATTATCTTTTCCAGGATCTTCCCAGGTATTGAGGTCAGGCTGATAGGTCTGTAATTTCCTGGATCCATTTTTTTTCCTTTTTTGAGGATGGGAACTACATCAGCTCTTTTCCAGTCCTCTGGTAGTTCCCCTGTGTTCCAGGATCTTTGAAAAATATAGTTCAGTGGCTCCGATATCACATCTGCCAGTTCCTTGAGAACTCTGGGGTGTAATCCATCTGGTCCTGGCGATTTGAACTCATCTAGGCTGGACAGGTGCTCACTAACCATTTTCTTGCCTATCTTAACTTGTGTTTCTATTTTGTTTTTTATGGCACTATTTTTGATAGGTTGATCTGTTTTTTCCCTTTGTGTAAAGACAGATGCAAAAAATGAGTTAAATAATTCTGCTTTCTCCTGTTGCTTGTCACCTTCTTGCCATTTCCACCCACTAATGGACCAATCATTTCCTTCACTTTTTTCTTGTTTTTTACATGTGAAGATGATCAACTAAGGACCAAAGTACATTATTGTGCTTTTCATACGACAGTAAAAAGTGGTAAAAAATGTTCTTCATTTTCATCACTGCACTTTCATATAGCTGTCCAGAGTAGCTGTTTTATGTGGTTCAGGGACTTGAAATATCCATCCTAGCAAATAAGATGTTGGAGCTCAAAGATATTTGCTAGAAAATATTTACAAGACATCTTAACTTGATGCATTCTCAAACAAAGTACTTTATACTTCATCTGATTCAATTTTGGGGGATCAAGTTTGAGTTTTTGAGGACCAAAGAAATGGATAAGATACTTGGAGCTGTGCAATTCACTACATGTCTCCAAAAGATGTGGTTGCTCCAACACTGGAAGTTTTTAAGAAGAGATTGGACAACTATCTGTCAGAAATGGTATAGAATTTTCTACTTGAGCAGGAGGTTAGACTAGAAGACCTCCAAGATCTCGTTCAATTCTGTTATTTTGTTATTCTGGTCTTTCTTGTAGGCCAGCTTGGTCTTTCCAGTACTCAATAAGCCTTCATGGTGTATTAGTTTCATTAAATCTTCTTCACTGTCCTTCAGATATTCTTCCAATGCCCTTTTTTATTCTTCAATTCCCTGGTGTATTTGCAACATTCCACACTCATCCCATTTTACTTGGTAAGTAGAATCTGACATGCCTCTCAATCCATCTTTTTACAGTTGA